CTTTCTCACGTACACACTCACACACACACACACACACATATATATATATATATACACACACACATACACACCCACTCATGAAGCCACCAAACGCCACTCAATGACCTTCTTCCAAATTAGGATTGTTCACTATTACCAATTAAGCTCTGTCTTACGCACAATTCACCAAACCTCAAGTTATTACAAGAGAAAAAGAATCTCATCGCATCTGATCCGTGTTAAGACTTAACGGCACTAATTAAATCAACAAGTTTTTTATTTTTATTTTTTTGTCTTATAAAAATAAACCACTTATTAATGACACAAAAAAACACCCAAAAATGGATATCAACCATTCCTATATTTGCAATTTGTATTTATTAATTAGCTAGTTTATTCCTCGTTCTAGCTTCTCCATTTTGCCTTGTCCTTCAGCTACTTACGTACGAAGTTGTCCATGCCTTTGCTGATCAACCTCTCCTCTGACCTCATTAAAACCTTTTGTCCCTTACGATGAAAGATTATTAATCTTAATGCTGCTTTTCCCACTATAAATACGATACCTAGTTAGCTACCATAATCATCACAAACAAATTTTTTTGGAAGGGTAATTCCAAAATGAGTCTGTTTTCAGCTCTCGTTTACCCTCTGATTTTCATCTCATTCTCGCTTGTTTCCAGTGAAACCAATGTCGACCACGAAACCAAGACTTTCATAGTCCGAGTCCAAAACAACCTTAAACCTTCAGAATACTCCAACGTCGTAGACTGGTATAGCTCCACTCTCCGAAGCCTCAGTTCACATACACCAAACGAGAACGACGATGACATGATTGTCCATGTCTACAACACCGTGTTTCATGGTTTCTCTGCTAAGCTCACAGGCGAACAAGCCCAAGAGCTAAATCAACGGCCTGAAATACTCGGCGTCTCTCCCGACCAGGTTCGAAAAATCCATACCACCAGATCACCTGGATTTCTCGGACTTGACACCGCAAGCAGTATGGCAATTAGTAATAATGGCTTACTCAATGAGTCTGACTGGGGTTCGAATGTCATTATCGGAGTTATAGACTCTGGGGTGTGGCCTGAACGACGTAGTTTTGACGACGAGGGCATGGGGCAAATCCCATCCCGGTGGAAAGGCAAGTGCGACGGAGGGGAGTCCTTTCCCGACACACTTTGCAACAAGAAGCTCATCGGAGCGAGATTCTTCAACCGCGGCCACGAGGCTCGTTTCGGTAAACAAAAGACCGAGAAGATATCAGCGAGAGACACTGTCGGCCACGGGACCCATACGGCCTCGACCGCCGCCGGACGACGAGTCGAGAACGCCTCGTTCTTCGGCTATGCCCAAGGAGTCTCCTCGGGCATTGCACCGAAGGCAAGGCTCGCCATATACAAGGTCTGCTGGGCTGCGGAAGGCTGCCTCAATTCCGACATAATTGCCGCCGTCGACGCTGCCGTTGACGACGGCGTCGACGTGATCTCGATCTCCCTCGGCAGCTCACACTTGATGCCCTACGATAGCGACTCAATGGCGATTGCCGCATTCGGGGCGGTTCGAAACGGCGTCGTGTTCTCAGCCTCGGCCGGGAATTCGGGCCCTGACCAAGGAACGGTTAGCAACGCCGCACCATGGATCACGACCGTCGGAGCAAGCACTCTCGACAGGACTTTCCCCGCGGATATAGTGCTTGGAGACGGTCGCGTCATCACCGGATTATCTCTCTACGACGGAAAACCTTTCCCGGCAGGAAAGTACTTTCCGTTGATTCACGCGGAAAATGCGTCGGCAATTGAGTCTCTAGAAGGTGCAGGCAGAAATTACGTGACCAAACCTTTCGGTTTGTCTGGTTTTTGCATGCCGGGGACGCTCGATCCCAATATCGTGAAAGGGAAAATTGTTGTTTGTAACGCCGGGATGTATCCAAGTCCCGCCATAGGATTAATGGTGAAAGAGCTTGGTGGAGTTGGAGTCATCGTCGCCGACATGCAGGAATCGGTAGGAGAGGGTTTAGTCGCCCAGCAGTACCTCACACCCGGGATTTCCATAACCGAATCAGCTCGTGCCACACTTCTAAATTATCTAACTTCCTCCAGAAAGCCACGTGCCACTATGCGCTTCCGCGGGACCCAGTTGGGGGTCAAACCAGCACCTGTAGTCGCTTTCTTCTCCTCCCGTGGGCCCAATCTCCTCTCTCTGGATGTGCTGAAACCGGACGTGATCGCGCCAGGTGTCGACATCCTAGCGGCCTGGCCAGACGAGATCCCGCTGAGTTATGTAACAACTGATACGCGGCGCTCCGAGTTTAACATTATGTCCGGCACGTCGATGTCCTGCCCCCACTTGTCCGGGGTGGCGGCGCTGCTGAAAGGGGCCCACCCCGAGTGGACCCCGGCTGTGATCAAGTCCGCGATGATGACCACGGCCTATACACACGATCGCGATCTTAAGCCGATAAAAGAACAGGTCAATAATACTTTGGCTACGGTGTGGGACATGGGCGCCGGACACGTGGATCCGGTGAGAGCTGCTGATCCTGGCTTGGTGTATGATCTAACGGAGGATGATTACATCAGATTTCTCTGCGGCAACAATTACAGTAGCGACCAAGTTAGGGTAATCACGCACAGGGAAGTGAACTGTCACGAAACAGAGAAAATGTACCCTTGGGAGCTCAACTATCCGGCGATAGCGGTTCGTGTCAACGCATCAAGGCCGTCCAAAGTGGAGATTTCGGTCCCGAGGACTGTGACACACATTAGTGATGGTGCGGCCATTTACACCGTAAAAATCACCAATCCTAAAGGCACTGTCGTTTTTGTTAGTCCTGAGAAGATGGCGTTTGATAAGAAGGGTGACAGAGGAAGTTACGTGGTTACCATTTTCGCTGACAACACTAGTCCACGTGGAAGGCATGTTAGTAGTAGTACTTTTAGTGAGTTTGGGATGCTGACGTGGACAGATGGGAAACGTCGGGTCGCTTCTCCTCTTTTGGTTACTTGGGTTCATTAGTGGTTATAAGTCACTTGTTTAGGAATTCATGCAGTTTTAAACATAAATTATCTCGATAAGTGTCACGAGAGAGTTTATAGTTTAAGGATCTGTGTGAGACTGTAACAAGTCCGTAAGGACGATAATGTTTGGACAAAAAGCTTCATACAATATTATATAGATTACAAATACACATATTTTACGCTATTCCACTTCGTTTTCATTTGTGGGAGAAAAAAAAAAATAGGACAAGACTTGAGATGTCTTAAAATTAATAGGTCAATAGTTTACATAAGTTAATAAATATGTTAAATTACTGTTTTCGTCCATAATTTGTCTGATTATGAACCATAACTTGACGAGTTATTGTCTATAATTCACGATTTTTGTCCATAACTTGTCTGACTATGAACCATAACTTGACAAGTTTATCCATAACTTATCTGATTATGAACCATAATTTGACAAGTTATGACTTATTAATTTCTATAACTAAAAGTTGACATATATACTTTCTTAAGCTTTTCATATTGACATATTCTCTACTATTTCCGTTTTTTTTTCAGGGGAAAATTGTTGCTAAAAATTACCCGTCCAATTTATTATTTTGAGCTTATTTTGAAAAGCATAACTCGTATACCAACTTATTCACTTAAAATTAAGTATTTTACATATTAGTATTTTGGCGAGAAAATATAATGAATAACAAATAAATATCATGATCGCATTATAATTTAACAGTATTTTCACAATTGATTTTATAAAGACCTAAATAACAAGTCTTTAAGTTTAATCTACTAAAAAAAAAGTCTTCAAGTTTAAATTATAAAAAAAAAAAAAACTAATTCTTTTAACTGAAAAAAAAATAATTGTCATTAGTGTGTAAGAATAAATATAGGGGTGCGTTTAGAATTCGTTCCAAAATGATTTTATTTTTTGTATGAAAATAGAAATGAAAACGTTTTTAATCTCAGACAGAAATGATTTTTGAAAATGTGTTTGGTAGTTTTATCAAGAGATTATTTTCAGTATAAAAAAACTCATTAATGTCTCTCTCTGTGCTCGAGAGAGGAGAAAACGAAAACAAAAAATGAAAAACGACTAAAAGTTATTTTTCATTTCTCTCGCATTTTACACTAAAACAAAAAATCATTTTTATTTTTATTTTTTATCTTTAATTATGCCAAACGCCATTTTAGAATCGTTTTCATTTTTTCCAGAAAAATGTGAAAAATAAAAATAATAATAATTCTAAACATGACATAGATTTCTTATTATTCAAAATTCAGGTTTTTTTTTTTTTTTTTAAAGATAAAGGGCATTTTATTTTTTATTTTTCTAGGAAAGAATTAGGGAACAATTTTATAAGAAAATGAACTAGTCATATATAAAATGCCTTTCCTGCTGTAACAGCGGAGCGAGACGGAGAAAGAGACAGAGAGAGGGAGGGAGAGATGGTTTCGCTGAAGCTCCAGAAGCGGCTCTCCGCGAGCGTTCTCAAGTGTGGGCGAGGCAAGGTCTGGCTCGATCCCAATGAGGTCAACGAAATCTCCATGGCCAACTCTCGTATGTTCATTCTTTCTCTTGTCTCTCTATCAGTCCTTCCTTTCATTTCTTTTGTAGATTCTGTATTTTCTTCTTAGCTTCTTTTGTTTGCGTACCGTTTTCTTGATTAGAGTTTCTGCGAACATTAAAAATCATAACTTTAGTCTGTTAAGGACTTCACCTTATGAAGATTCTGGTATTTCGATGCTAATTTCTGCGGGGTTTTTTTTTTTTTTGAGCACTAACGTTGTGGTTTGCATCTGATGTTTCATCTCTGACCGCTATTTTGTAATGATAATATACTTGTGGTCCGTTTGATTTATAGATTTGAACAGAAATTTAAATTTAAATTTTACGAGCGAAAATACTGTAGCAAAAAGTTTGAACAGTAGTTTAAACCTGTAAAACAAACAAGCGCTTGACTACCGAATAGGTGGAAAATTTAACGGTTAATTCTAGGAAAGATTTCGTTTTGGTTTTGGGCACCATTTATTGATGTTCATTTGTGAAAATGAATTATATTGATGTTCTGTATATGCTGTGTGCAGGCCAAAACATAAGAAAGTTGGTCAAGGATGGTTTCATTATCAGGAAGCCAACCAAGATTCACTCTCGTTCCCGTGCCCGTCGCATGAAGGAGGCCAAGAGAAAGGGACGTCATTCTGGATATGGTAATTTGTGTTTCTGTTATTTATTAGAAGTTTAAGCAAGGGAATTTGTCCTTGGCTTGCATCTTGCGATAGAGTAATTTTATAATGCACTTGCTGCTCGAGTTTGCGCAGTGACTGGTAACTTATCCTCTTTTGGAGTTGGATTTAGAACTTTTGTAATTCCAGATTAAAAATTTAAAAAAAAAAAAGGAAATGTTTGGAATTAGTAAATTCTGAATCTGCCTCTCATAGACAATTTTTTACAATTGCTTGGCTAAGCCATTACTAGGTTGGTGCATTTGGGGCTGTCGGTATTGGGAGTATTGTTTGCGAGTAACACGTGTTTGTGAACTCTTATTTCAGGTAAGCGTAAGGGTACGAGGGAGGCAAGGCTGCCCACCAAAATCCTATGGATGAGGAGGATGCGTGTTCTTAGGCGCTTGCTTCGCAAGTACAGGGAGTCGAAGAAGATTGACAGGCACATGTACCATGACATGTACATGAAAGTGAAAGGTAATGTTTTCAAGAACAAACGTGTGCTGATGGAGAGCATTCACAAGTCAAAGGCTGAAAAGGCAAGAGAAAAGACTTTGTCTGATCAGTTTGAGGCCAAGAGGGCAAAGAACAAGGCCAGCAGGGAGAGGAAAATTGCTAGGAGAGAGGAACGTTTGGCCCAGGTATTAATCTTATGCACTGCTGTTAATTAATGAATTTCTAGAATCAACAACATTAGGAAACATGTAGGTACTGATTTGTACAAACTTCGTCAAAGTTACTTGTTAGATCCAAAAAATTTCCAGTTACTTTCGAGGTATTGCATTAAGACATTTACTGACATTGTTAGACTTCTAACTTGTTTACAGGGGCCTGGAGAAAAACTACCGGCAGCAACGCCTGCTGCTGCACCGGCTGCAGTGTCTCAACCTACGCAGTAAGTATACTCTTGAAAACAATGTTTTTGAACAGGATTCTTTCCGTCTGATATCTGTTATTTATACGTATATGGATCTTTTCTTTCAGGGGATCGAAGAAATCCAAGAAGTGAATCCTAGGAGAAGTTTACTGGAGGATGCATGACAATTGCCAGTCCTTGCTTTCTCCGTCACTTTTTTTTTAGGGTAGTTTTGAAGAGTGAGTTGTGTTTGTTTTTGACGATGTTACTTGATATCCTATATGAAAGGAGTTAACAGAATCTTTGTACTTCTTCTGCTTAATTTATATTTTGTTCTCTATTATTGTTTTCTCTGGTTCCATTTTTGTGTGCGTGTGGATAATAAGCACGCTGAATATCAAGTGAAGAGTTTTCGTTTTCTTTCACTGAGCATCAACTTGAGAAACATTCACCATTGTTAGGGTACTATATGTACTTTACCATCGATTCATTAACTTAAATCTTCACATAATTATTTTTTTACCCCAAAAGATAATTATAATTATTTAAAATGTTTTTAAGATGATGAGTTGCTTGGCGACTACGATGGTTTTCCCAATCTGAAGACAACTTACTCGAAAGCGGAAAATGACAGGTTTTTAAGTTGATATTTTTGGACTAAAAATGAAGTACCATGAGATGTTTTTTGCCCTTCAAATTTGATATAGTAGGTTTCAAGTTTGGGAAGGAGGGATAACAGGCAGAGGAAAAGAGCATTTGGGATTTAAAGTTTAAACCCGTTCAATTCATCAAAAAGAGGACAGAAAATAATTAATCAGTGTTGTACATTTCCCTAAATTAAACCCAAAAAAGAAAAAAAAAATGAGTTGGGTGGAGAAGAAGAAGATGGCACTTTTTCATCAAATAAGTAAATTCCTCATTGGAGATATACGCATCAACTCAAAACATCAGTGATCATACAACATCAGACAAAAGAATTACTGAGGAGATGCCATGAATTCTACATATAGGTTGTATGAGAGGCAACATTTTTTGCCTCCTTCCTTTCAACTAACCAAAATTATGTTCAAGCTTTTCTAATAATATGAGTCGCCCACTCATGAAGAGAGACAAAAACAGTGCTCCTGAGAGAATGGATTTGTCAAAAGCTATCCCATCATAATCTCTGAAGACTGGTTTACGTCCAAAGGGATTGCCACTTGTGTGATGGTTTGCTCATTTCTAGAAGGGTCACTTGGGCTGTTGTAAATGCCAAGTTTTACAACAAATGTAGCTATGCTTCCTTTGTCAAGGCCCTCACTCTCAATCCAAATTTGACCCCCCATGAGATTTACAAACCTGCTCCATCCATTTCAAGAAAAGTTAGGTCATACATGAGCTCAAAACAACTAATTAGTACATCTCTTGAGCTTTTAACAAAATAGCATGAAGTTGAAGTCTATTAAGAATGTTCTGAAATGGTCAAAAATTAATGCCGAAAGTAACAAGAAAGCATTTTGGCCGGTGAAATTAGAGTTCGGATTAAGAAGGATCTATGGGTCTCTACCGTTTACAAATGGCGAGTCCCAATCCACCACCACTGTTACTCCGACCGGATCCACTTTGGGGCTGAGTAAATTTGGTGAATAAATGGGGTTTATCTTGTGGGAGAACACCACAACCAGAATCCTTAACCTGTACCAACAGGGTTGATCAGACACAGAACTAGTCAGAATCCACGTAACCAAAAAAATTACAAACAGCTATACTAAAAAAATTAATGCAGCAAGTTTGAACCTTTACAAGGCATCTAGTTCTAGCAACTCAAATTAAATTTATGATCAGACACAGAACTAGTCAGAATCCACGTAACCAAAAAAATTACAAAAAAAAATTAATGCAGCAAGTTTGAACCTTTACAAGGCATCTAGTTCTAGCAACTCAAATTAAATTTCAGAGAAGTCACATGAGAATAAATGAAATAAAAGCGTCAAACAACCACCCTGCAAAAGAAAGGGGCACATTTTAAGACTTAACAGATACTTTTGCAAATAAAAGGTGTCATGCCTGAACTCGTAAATAGAAGTGGCAGTCACTTGGAGCCGGATAAAATTCAGAAGGTCGCAAATCTCTTAAAGATTCTGGTTTTACAACAGATGCTACAATTGAGATAAAGCCTTCCTTTGTGAACTTCACCGCATTACCAGCAATATTTAGAATAGTTTGCATAAGCCGCTTCTCATCACCAAGAGCAAAGACAGGTAAATCTGGGGTCATAATCAGATTCAGTTGTAACCTTTTTACAGATGCAATAGGCTTGATCAGATTAACGACCTGCAATACAAAAATGCTCCAAAGTGTCACAAAGTCAAGCATATATAACTAGTAAACATTCGTTTAAATTGAAATCTTCAACTGGAATAGTTACCTCTCCAAAAATTCCATGAAGATTAATTGTTCCAATATCTAGCTTTAGGCTTCCATCTTCAAGCCTAGAAAGATCAAGAACATCAGTAATTAGAGTTTCCAAAAGGTTACTGCTTTTTAGTACTGTCTCTATCATAACCCTTTGCTCCGGAGTTAGATCCGTCTCTAGAAGAAGTGAAGATAACGCAATAATTGCATGCATCGGCGTTCTCATTTCATTGTTCATGACAGCAAGGAAATCATTCCGAGCGTGGATTGCCGTCTCCGCTTCCCGTTGAGCTAATTTTAAAGCAACATTTTGCTCCATGAGCTGATCACGGGATCGCATTGACTCTTCCAGAATGGCAGCATGTGAAAGAGCAACAGCTACCTGTAGAAGTACAAAACGTCAAAAATTAAGAAAGAAATAACGCTATTTAATCTTTACAATTTTTGGAACGGTTCTTTCACTTGCATTATGGCAATCGGATTCAGGTGCACACAGGAAGGAAATATCAATTAAACCACTTGCTTCAACTTCCTAAAGCTTCATGGGATAAAATTTCCTAAGATCAGCTAGCTAAAATAACTACCTGTCGAATAGTTCATGATTAGAATGTAAGCACAAGTCAGGTTTGTATGAAACTAAGCATTGCGAAACCAGAAAGCATAACTGTATGACATTAACAAACAGCCAGTGAAAAGGAAACATGAAAATTGCAAAATTACCTGGTCTGCAACAACATCAACGAGTTCCAATTCATGGTCTCGCCATTGTCTAGCACTATCCGTAGGGAGAATCAAAACCATGATAGCGTAGCTTTTTGCAGAGACGTCAGGCCAATCATTAATTTGGAAATTTGAGAGATATAGAAGAGGTACCCGCACAGCCACAACCTCCGGTGGCACATATCTCCCCACAAGTGGTCTAATTCTGGCCAAAGGACAGGTGTAAGGAATACGCATTGCTCGAGCACTATTAAAAACCTCACTAATTATGGGAAGATTCATAGGAATGGAGGATCCAACTTTTATGTGGTAGTTTAAAGTATGGGAGAGTTGCAGATTCAGACCACTTCGAGACGGCATCCATAACACGCATTCTTCGAGACCTAAAGTCCTACCAAGCTCCACAAGGGTGGTTTTCAATATTGTATCTCTATTTAGAGTGCTTCTAATTTCATGAGTCAGCATTCTAACATGCCTCCCGGTTTCTTCCTGAGTAAGAATAAGGCCCATTTCTCTGTCGAGCTCTTCAGCCTTGTCCTTGAGAAATTGTTCCCGGGTTTTGACACTTAAAAGGTCGGGTATGATGTGAACAAGCATCAATGCAGTTGCACATGAGACAACAGCACATGAAATCTTTGCAACAGTCATGACCACCGCCACGGCCTTGGAGTGCATAGAGAATGTCCACAAGCTTATGAAGTGGGTTGCTCCACAAAGAACAATAAAAGCTCCAAACTGCATAAGAACCCATCTGTATGGGAAGAAGGCTGATTTCTGAACAAAATATATGAGCTCCAAGGGAATGGAAAAGTAGGCAAAGGCAATTAAGAAATCCGAAATGTACTGATATTTCACTAAAAGCTCATCAGGTGGCCATTGTGTGTCAATACAATCACAGGACTCCATTATCAAACTTCTGTCTTAACAAATCTGAGCCAAAGAATAGATTACAACAACAAAAAACAGTTTTTAGTTAACAAACTATTTATTACTATCATAAAGTTAAATAATTGCAAAATTTCCCATGAAAGAAAATCTTCATTAGAGAAATTTTATTGCCCATGAAAGAAAATCTTCATCAAGGAAACAAGGACAATATCTACCCTCGGAAAAGGGTCTGAGGAGTTGAGAAAATATTCTTTTAATACATTTGTCCCACAAAGTAGAGTGTTTTCTCGGTAAATATTTTCAGAATTATCAAAATTTCAGCTGGGAAATAAACGAGGGCTATACATAAATCTTCACAAAAAAAAAAAAAACAAAAAAAAACAAAAAAAAATCCTTGAAAACAGATAGTATTAACAAACTCAACAGTAAGATATCTGGCGTATGAAACGAGAATCCCATTAAGAAAAGACCAATGGGACTTTGCTAATCCATTTAAACAAATAAAAAAAAATACAAAATCTAAGGAAAAACAAAAAGAAGAAGAGAAGATAAAATCCAATAAATTAATAATCATTACCAAACCAAGAAGAGAGACTGAAAACTTGAACTTGAACGATCAGAGATAAGTTTCCAAGCAATGAGAGTGTGATCTGAGCAGTCTATTCACGTGAGGTTGTCCAAAGCTGAAAAGGGTAAACCGCATTCAGCAGAAGAAGAAGAAGAAGAAGAAGAAAGAAGAAGAAATGGAGATGACTAAAAGCGAAGCCTTTCAGAAAAAAGTATCGCTTTAGAGAGAGAGAGAGAGAGACATCACGGACAAGAAGGCGACGCACGAGCTCAAGGAGGGAAGTGGCACGTGCGTGGGTGGGACTCATGAGGAATTTTTAAGGAAGTTTGGAAGGATATTATTAGTGAGATAATCTAAACTTTGGATATTAATTAAAGAAATCTTGGTCGCTTAATTAAAAGTGTGAATTTATTCCATTTGATTCAACGGCTTTTAATACACAACTGTCTTGTACTAAAGAGAAATATTTGCCGTGTTTGAAATTATTTTTATTTTTATTTTTTAGGTTTTTTGAGAAAGAAAAAATAAAAATAATTTTAAATCAGTGTTGGCATAATTAAAGATAAAAAAATAAAAAATAAAAATAAATTTTTAGTTTAGTGTAAAAAAATAGATAAATAAAAAATGACTTTTAATCATTTTTTAATTTTTATTTTCATTTTTTTTTCTCTAGCAGAAATATTAATGAATTTTTTTATATTAAAAATAATTTTTTAATAAAATTACTAAATTTATTTTTAAAAATAATTTCTATCTAAAATTAAAAACATTTTTATTTTTATTTTTATAAAAAAATAAAATTATTTTAAAATAAATTCTAAACGCACTTAATTATCTCTAGAGATAGATACTCGTATCAGATTACGTTTGATTGAATTAACATGCATTGGTATTGGATGTTTTTCTATAGCTGGTGGGGCCCAACCTACTTTATATATATAAATATTGCATATTTTATATATTTTATATACATCTTGCGTGTTACATTCAACATCTCTACTTAAATATTTTACATATATACATATTGCGTTTCGGCCGCATTGCCATTGTCCACCCACTTTTGAATATTTCGTTTTTTTATTAAGATATAATTTGTCAATTAATTTAGGCCTTGACCTGGAATTTTTTTTTTCTTTTGAAAATTGTAAAAAAAGTTCTTGATAATGATTTTGTAATACCCATTTTCCACGTGATAAAATGAAATGAGGAAGAAAAAAAATTAAATTTGTATGCGACAAAGTCACAGTGAAATTGGAATTCTGTGCTTGGAAGAAATTCTCTCTATTTTTGTGTTATTCAGCCACCTAAAGTAAATGTGATTGTTTTACAAAAACAAACAAGAACGTTCTATGAAAACGTACTTTTTATTAGTAATATGTATTTTTAAACATTTAATATGATTAAAATCACATTAAATTAAAAAATTAGAAAATTAAAAAATTAAAGTATACTAATAAAGAGTTTCTTGTGCCCTTGACAGCTAAGCAGGTTCAAAATTGACTAGTGTTTTTAGTTGATTATTGTTCCACCGATCCATTTCTTGCTCGTTAACTTGAAGCGCACTTGTATTCGTCAAAAAAGGTTAAAAAAAAAAAAAAACCAGACTTTATTGTCAAAGAAGATATAGACAGATTTGACAAAATTAAACAGAAATATATTTTTTAAGGGAACACAACCGTCAAACGGAAGATGGGTTTGTGTCCCCAAACTTTGAACCTTAAAAAAAGATTGACCAGATCCATTGCACTTTAATAATATTAATGGCTTTGTAGCTATGTGTTTCACGTCAGTAAAACAATCGACACATCGCTATTCACGTTAGTATATACAGATGTGACAAAACATATATATATATATATATACACACACGAAAAAGAAAGAAAGAAGGAAAGAAGCTTCTACTGTATAAAAAAAAATTATCAATAATTTTTTATTTTTAATCATTAAATTTGTATTAAAAATTACATATTTTTTAAATTTACGTGATTTTAACATAATTTCATAATTAAAAATAATTAAAAATTAACATTACCAATAAAATTAACATACCCAAAAAAAAAACTTTAAAGGAATAAAGAAAGAAACAGCCATATATATAGAACCATCAACCCCCTAGTGGACAAAAAACTCAATAAATGAAGCAAAAAGAAACGGCCACTCATATTCAATACAGGAAGAAGCCATGGACAAAATTTTCTTCCCAATAAAATAAATAATTGAATTACAATTTGGGACTCATCGGATGCCTAAGTGCACTTTTCACTCTGATAGGTTAAGCCCCTATTTGCTTTCCTAATTTAATTCAATTCAATTCAATTTGAATAATAAGCACATGTTGAATTGGCATTTAATAAACATATGCAGTTTAAATTATATTTTCCATTTAATCTAGTTAAACAGCTCAACTTAAAATTTAACCCTCCTCTCAAATTTAATCATTCAAACCATTTTTAAACAGTAAAAAATATCCACTCTCTGTTTTTCACACATACCAAATACAAATTTGAATTTAATTTCCTATTTAAATTAAAATTTTAACTATATATAAACATCAATTCAAACTACAATTTAAACCACACAATCTGAAGCAGTAAAAAATATCCACTCTCTGTTTTTCACACATACCAAATACAAATTTAAATTTAATTTCCTATTTAAATTAAAATTTTAACTATATATAAACATCAATTCAAACTACAATTTAAACCACACAATCTGAAATTTTTTGTATAAATCAAAAAATTCAAATTAATAAAATTCAAACCAACTAAATACGAGCTGACTTATTTGAAATTCATTTTAATAGTTTAACTCTTGTTTTTTTTTTTTTTTTTTCGTTCTTTGGAAACTCTTTTGACTTCTTGGGAAACCGTTCTTGGGCTCTAAAAGGGCTTCACTCAGCATCTGTGACCAAAGCACTTCAAACGTGTTGCGGAAACCCTCCTGAAACCAGTCCAGGATTTCGGAATATAGTTCCCTGGGGCTCTCCATCCAGACCCCACTTAATTTGGCACAACTATCTACGAACTTGACCTTTAACTTGGTCAACAAGTTTCCTACCCGTCTTTGGCCCGATGCCTCTGGCCTCAAAATGCTGGCGGGCGGAGCTGCCATGAACTTGCGAACAGATCTTAAGCACGGCAACACCTGCCCTTCAAGCAAAGCGTAAGCGAAAACCACCACTCTTTGGTTAACATCGCTAATGGGCAAGCTATGTTGTGCAAGTTTCCATAAATGAGGCCCGAAAGTCGGAACAACATAATGCAGAACTTGGTCAGTTCTAGGATCATAATAAGGCTTGGTGTCTGTGGAAGGCGCAGAGAAAGTGCATAGAGAACGAGCATACTCAACAAGCCATTCTGGTTTTACCCTCGTCACTCCATGCATGTAGGGCCGTTTTGTCTGTAGCAGCTCACTATAAACTAAAAACTCCGGAGCTGAATTAGAGACAAATGACCAACGATGAAGAAACACATTTTCTTTGACCGCGCAGGCCTGATAACGAACCGCATGAACTTTCCCTTCATCTTCCAATGACTTTGAAATTCTTCTTATGCGTTTTGCAACTCTGTCTGCCCAACCAGCACATATGGATTGGCCTAAGAGCTCTTCCTCGAGGAGTGAAAGAGGGTGCTTATTGTAGGACGCCCTCCAAGATTGTTCCACATCCTCTAGAGTACCGTAGGTCCACGAAAACTCCTGCTCAAGATCACAATCATCAGTATGACTAAATACCAGCTGAAGTAACTGCTTTCTCAGCTTGGACATTTCCTCCATGGTTTTAAGGTGTAGGTAGCTCTCATTGCAGAAGTCCATTGGGCTTTCCGCGAGTTCGAAACATTGCAAAGCATAGGCTACAGATAGAGCATCGCTACAGGGATTAGAGAATTTTTCCCGATATGTTTTTGCAGCTTCTTTTAGTTTCTTCCTCTTCAATTTTTCCTTGTCCAAGACTTTATTGTTCTCTAAAGCGTCAAGACTCCCCCCATCTTGGTCCAAGTCGCTTTTACTAGTGTTACTATTACTATTTTCCAACTGCAGGACGAAAGGATTTGACAAGCTCAAAGCTGCAGCTGCTGCAATCGCGTATGCTAAAACCAAATTAGGTCGAGAGTCACTTTTCTTCTTCCTCATTATCTGAATAACAGTAAGGAGCATCCTCGAGTGTCGAGGACTCATGGGATAGCGAGACATGGCCTTCCCTAAAGCTGTAAGCTTTCCATCACTATCAAGAGCCTCAAGAACCTTCAAACAGCGTTCTGCTTCAATCAATGCAGCAGCCTGAGGAGGAGTTGGAAATGGAAAATTGGCAACCTGTGAGCACAGACAAAACAAGGTCATCACAAGAATCAAAGAGATAAGGAATTATAGTGAAGTCGTTATGTTGAAGATTTATGCTAATGATGAGAACCAAACCTAAGACCACAAAAAGCTAGTACCAACCTTATCAATGTGCATGGATTTCATGAGAAGGACAACACCCTCAACTGGTACTTTTAATATTTCAGCAAGAGAAAAATCAGGGAATGTGTTGTTGTAGACTGCCGAAGAATATAGACGGTAACAATGGCCAGGACTGGTTCTTCCAGCTCTTCCTGCACGTTGAGAAGCTGAAGCCTTACTTATCCACTGAACTTCATATGTTTCCATGCCATTGGAGGAGTTGTACTTTTTCACTTTCTCCCTTCCTGTATCAACAACATACTTTATTCCGGGAATAGTTAAAGAGGTTTCAGCAACATTTGTTGCCACAACAACAAGCCTCTCCCCTTCCTTGACATCATCAAATACACGTAGCTGTGCTGCTGCAGGCAACATGGCATATAGAGGAAGAACACACAGGGCACCGACAGATGAACCATTTTCACCCCCACTTGTTTTTTCAGCGATAGGATTGGTTTGGTCTAAGCAAGCTTCCTGAGTAACTGGGCCAGGCTGTATTCCATCAGAACTACAGTTTAAGGCAGCCTGTCCTTCCAAAGCTTCAAATGCAGCTTTCAGTGAAACAAGGTTCACCTCCATGAGATTACCATCATGAATTTCCGCTGTTTTTTCTTGCAATGACTCCTCATTATCATCCATAATTTCCAATTCGCTATCTGATTCTAAATCATTTAAAAAATCCAATTCATCCTCGTATCTATTAGAATCATCATCATCATCATTTGAGCGAAACATGTCAGTTTCCTGCTGCTCTGAATGTCCACGAGCATCAAAAGCTTCATTGATCTCCTCCATGCTTATTCCCTCAACAGATTCAATCTTGGTGACTGCTTGATCAGTCTCAACCTTTCCTTTTGATGCCCTCGATATGAGTTCCTTTGAAGCTCTACGTAGCTTTCGACACAAATATTCAACTTCTCTCTGACCAGTGACAAAGACTAGTATACCTCCTTGTGGCAGCCTCTTGTGAATTGCTAAGACCTTTTTATATGCTTGGCCAATATAATCCACAATCTCTGTTCTTTTTGAGAAATGTGTAGTGACTGGAAATTGTCTGGTAGGAACTTCAAGCACGGGGGGAGGATTGCTAAATAACCTTTTACCAGAAATGAAGTCCTCCACTCGCAATGTAGCACTCATCAGCACAAGTCTTAACGGGAAAATCTGATTTTCAGGACTTATAGTTTGCCCCGAAAGCATTAATTTTTGCTGCTGTGCATATATTTTCTGCAAAAGAATGCAAGATATTAGTGAGGAAAATAATTGAAAAATAGGGATAAAACTCAATTTATGCAGCAAGTAAAAAGATCATAATAGCACTATACCTCACGGCCTTGAATTACACGTGAAAGCATTCCAACAAGAATGTCTGTGTTCAAGCTTCTCTCATGAGCCTCGTCCAGAACTATAACAGAGTAATGCCTTAACAAAAAATCATTCTGGGTAAAAAAAAAAAAAAGGACAATTATTAAACGAGTGTGGAGCCAACTTTTTAAAGCATATGTGACAAATGCGCGCGCGCGCACACAAAACTTAATAATAGCTACATTTAAAGGTTTAATATTCCAACTTCGTCTTTAAAAGAACCCTTTTCTTCCAAACTTATTTATTACTTGCTTCTCTATTGTCTTCTTAAGAATTTAATTTGAGAGCATTCAATAATTGTTCATTGCGTACTTCTCTTATAAAGCAATCACCACACAAGCAGACTAAAGGTAAATTACGAAGAGCGCAGCAAATAATATGGCGTGACAAATTATAACACTTGTATGCATAATCGCTCGACTCATGCCACATTAAAAAAAATTGCAATAGCGAGTGGACAGAAAACCTGAAGTTCTCGTAGCAAAATCCCATCTGTCATAAACTTGATTGAGCTATTGTGGCCAATCTTTTTGTCATACCTAACTTGAAACCCAACCTCTTTACCAAGGGAGAGCCCGAGCTCATGTGCAACCCGCTTAGCCGTGGCAAGAACAGCAACACGGCGCGGTTGGGTAACACCAATAGTACCGCCTCGAGCAACATATTGTCTTGAACCAAATCCAGCTTCATAAAGGAACTACAAAACATCAAAGTAGTAAAAATTTGCGCCTTGGAAAGTTCCAAGAAAAATTGGGATAAAGTACAAGATCCTTACTTGAGGAACTTGGGTAGTTTTACCACACCCAGTCTCTCCACATATAATGACAGTTAAATGGTAATTGATAGCTTCCATTATCTCCTGCTCCATCATGACAATTGGAAGATCCTTCCTCGTTTTCTCAACATCGGCTGGCCTTGATACGTGCACTACAGTTGGTGTTGTACTATTAAGCTCCACTTTTAGGCTCTCAATGGTCCTATCCTGTACCAAGTAAAATTCCAAATGTTCAGTTAAAAAACAATAGTCATTATTGATAGATAATTAGAATACAGTTCCCCTTTCGCATTTCATCTTCATATTATATCAAGCACAACACACAACAAGCAAAAAATATAAACAGAGAAATAAACAGTCAAAATTAGTAAGATACGCACGCGAGCGTGCTATAAGCTTTAAGTGAAACACAAGCTTCTGGAGGAACCATGAAATGATGAAACTTAAGATGCAATTTAGGAATTTTAAAACAAATTACAAGTTCCTTATGAGATGCAATGCTTGGCGATGAATTAAAAAAAAAAAAAAAAAAAAAAATTAAGAAGCGTCATAGTTACCATTCAAAGTGTTCACAAAGGTCTTCCTTTGACAAAAACCTCTAAACTGTGAAAGAAACCTAAGAGTGGTCCATGGATATTCATCTCTAACTATTAAACATAACACTCCATATACGCAGAAATCAGAACCAAGTCTGAAGGAAATGAACTATGAAAGAAGTTCATGTTTGCGTATCAGATCCAGAAACAAAGACGCAAAATCGAAGAGCCTTATGGATTATTCTCAACATACATGTTTACTGATTAAGTTGTCAACATAAGCATCTATCTACACCCAACTAACATGTTCGAGCGTCTTCAAAGCAACAAGTTAAAAAACAATTTTCAACAAACACACACCAAGAAATTAAAAGGGACTTGATTCTAGTTATCTAGAACCACTCTCTATTAATCCGTAAATCATGTTCCTATAATGTAATTTCATTCAGCCAATATACACTCTACCTGCCACAACTGAATGATTACATACCATTAAGTTTGTGCTTTTTCTGCAATCATCAGCCACATATTGATCATTCACACCGGGCTCATTGCCATCAACTGGATGCTGGGACGAGCACAAAGAAAGAATAGCATTTTCTGGGAGTCCTCTTTCCACCACGGTTGGCTGCACCTGATCATTCTTGTAAAGATCCTGACTCAAATACTGTTCATCCAACTCGGTTTCACTCTCAGTAAGAACACCGTCAGCATCCATTTTCTCAAGTGGTTGATCACTATGTGGAACTTCAGCAGTACATTCTACCACCCTCCTACGTTTTCTCTTCACAGTTTCAGCCTACATATATTAACTATCAAAAAAAAAAAAAAAAATTGCTCCAACACAATTTTAGTACATTGCTAAATACAAACATGATATGTGCACAAAAAACAAACCTGACCAATGTTTCTAGACGACTTCAGAAGAGAAAATGCACCGTCTGGAATCTCATATTTCCTACAAAAATTCATCACTCGTGAGTCATTTACTTGGATATAATTTTAAGAAAAATTGCAGAACTACGTACTGTAAGGTTTCGAGGCTTTTCGACAGCAAAAGTGCCTTTTCCTTCTCTTCCTGCGCACAAGTGATAAGCAAGTTATCCCAAATATGCTCAACTTAATCCAAGTGAAATCACAAATGCAAAAGTATACACAAACCAACCTCCAATTTCTTTAGCTTCCTCTTCTGTGATTTGCTCAATTTTGGGGTTGCCTCGGTCTTCCGTTTTTCACACTCCTAAAAAATAAAAATAAAATCTTAGTTTGAAATACAGCAAAGGAAAGATTTTTTTTTTTTTTTTAAGTCATACCTGCTTCATGCCCTTCTTTTTATTCTTTTTCTTACTTTGCAAGATCAATGTGTTGCTATCACCACCATCATCACCCAAACTACCAACAGCAATGAAAGGAAAACCAAATTACAATCTCAGCATAAACAAATTCTAAAACAAGATTTGCTAAAATAGTACATTAAAACATGACATGGAAAACTTTTACCTCAACAAATTCTCCATAGGCATCTCCATTTTTCTCGTCTTTAGCTTATTGAAACAGCCCTGAAATAATAGACATGAAATCCACATATTCGTGACAATACTTATCTCAACAAAAAATAATAATAATAATAATAATAATAATAATCTTTTTATCAAATTCCCATAAATACTGTCTACTCTTCTTCTAAAATCTAAATTTGGCGTGTTCGTAGCGAAAAGAAAATTACTAGTAAGCTAAGAGAAATTTAGCTTTTATTAAGGTCTATAAAGTTGGAATTGTTTTCTTAAAAATGCTGAATTTTTGGGTTCATAAATAATAGTGAGATAAAGCGAGAGAACCTGAGCGAACCTGAGACTAGAGAGAGAGAGAGACGAGCGCGGGGTGGCGCGGTGGCTTCGAGAGGCCGGGAAACGGTGGTTGGCGCGGTGGGGGACGCGCTGGTCGGAGGAGACGAGCTCGCGGCTGGGACAGGGGCGGCCGGCGGTGGATGGGGGCTGCTCTGTCACTAGGTTGTCTCGTTTTCCCTCCTTTCTCTAAGCAGCAACTTAAAACCAATAGACGGTTGAGATTGAATAGAATTGATCAACGGCTGAAAATAATTGGGATATATTTGTCATTTTACACTTCTATTTAACGTATTGTCAATCAAGCTAAGGGGGCAAAATTAGAGTTTCCAAAATCTAGAGGACAAAGTAGGAATTACACTAAAATTGGAACTATTGGTGAAAATAATCCTTGTCGTTTCTATGTTATCCTTTCCCTTTTCACATTGTTGTCGTTTATTTTTTAAAATTGTTCTTCATTTTGTTGCCTCTATTAATTGTGTTTCTGCATTATTATTAATTTATTATTGTCGTTTTTACATTTATGCCGTTTGATTTTTTTTTTAGTTTTTGTTTTCTGGGTTGTGTATTGTCGTTTTCTACTCTATGTCGTTTTTCATTTTTTATCTTGTCATTTTTATTTTATTGTCATGCAAGATAGTTTTCGTTTATCCTGATCAGTTACGCACCTTTCTTGGTGGCATTTTGCTGTCTTTATTATTATTATTTTTGTCATTTTAACATTGTTGTCGTTTTTTCGTATCCGTCTCTCGTTTCATTGTCCCTTTCAGTGTCGTTTTTGCATTAAAGTCCATCTTAGTTGCGAATTTGGGAGGGGACTACGGATCTTACCTCAACAGCTCAACTTGAACCATAATTATCGAATTTCGATAGAGAGTAACTTGAAATTAAACAAATACACATGATCAGCTAAGCTCGCCGGTTGTGAGTCTTTGATAGTAACACTTAAATGAACCACGACACAAAGTGCCAAATATTACTCAATATTATCTTTTATCAAAGAAAATGTTGCTAAATATTAATAATAAATTTAGGATATTGAAAGATAATGAAGAATCTATCATATGTGCTATGTCATATACTATATACAAGAACATGAAACGAAATTCTCTCATAAAACGTCGGCAAATCAAATAATTGAGAATTTTTCTCAAGTCGGCCAATATAATCATGATTGATCAGTTTTGGAAAGGCTAATTAAATTACACCAGTTGGTACACTGTCGTGGCGTGTAGATATCCAAAAATCAAATCTCACGTGTATTTCATTAGTGGATATATGTAGTGTAGAGAGAGTTTAGAGTTAATTATGTCGACGTGCATGAGAATGGTGATGTACGTACGCTTGGAATAATTGATTAATGGCCAAAACTTGAGATCACAGACAACAAATAATTAGAAGTCAAATCCGTCTCTTTTTTTTTTCCCACATTGAAGATAAACAAATTAAGGTTCCATTAATTTAGCTAATTATCGCAGGCAAATGATATATTACTTTCAGCACTTAGCAATCATAAGTTGGCTGGCCGTGCTTTTCGATGATCACAAGCATTAATCACGTGGAGCCCATGCAAGAATTGACAGTGTTAATTAAGATATGTAAATAGTATACACATATATATATATATATATATATATATATACGATCATGAAATATGTGATTGTGTGTGTATGGTGTTTCAATCATTTTCATGCAGGTGAAATTTCACGGTTTTTCGCTAGCGTAAAGTGTATTAATACATCGAATGTATTAGCAATGAGCGTTGAAGTTGCCCAATAGTACTATTTGCTTGCGTGATGTCTAAGAAAAAAATACTTACTAGGGAAAGTTAATATTTATTTAGATCTTCTTTGGTACGCCAACATACTTGTAAGTCAGGTTTTATATCTGTCGAATATGCATAAAACCATGTAAAAGTTAAAAAATACGCAAATCTAACAGTTAAAAAAATATGACTTACCGGTACGCCAGGCGTATCAAAGAATCTCATATATTTATTTTACAAATTATTGTAACTAGTTAGGCAGTCATAACCAAGGGCTCGGGCTTGTGTTATCATGTATGTCTGATATAAATATAAGATACTCAAGAAAATGATGATATTCGAGGTTTTTTTTTTTTTTTCTTGCTAACATATTTGAGTAATTAAAGTGGTCAACTTTTTCAAAGTGGATTTGTTGCCAAATTTTTATTAGGATATACGTATTCATGAACAAAGAGGCTGTAACAAAGTTCGAAGTTTAGATTTTTTTTTTCCTGCAATAGATCTTTTCTTTAACTATACATCTGATTGAACTAGAATTCTGCTGTACACAATTGCGTTAATCATCAACCATATTACAAGCAAACACTTTACGTCATATATCTTTGTAGGGTCAGATTCTAACGTTGAACAAGTCAATATTGAAAGCGCTTTATATTTAGTAACTTGTTCAAATTTGACAATCTAAATTTTTAATGATGAGGGTATTTTGTACCCAAAATCTTCAAGGACCACAATTTTCGATCACTAAATTAAAACTACATACTACTACCAGAAATTTGGATTTATCCATAGGCAAATTAAAATTAGAAAAGAAGTTAATTTTTCACGAAGAATCAAATCAAAGGTCAAGTTAGGCAAATTTATTTTTCACGAAGAATCAAATCAAAGGTCAAGTTAGGCAAATCCTACAACAATAATGCACCTAATATCCCAATCCAAGTTAATCCGGCGGTGAATTATAGGCCCCATTTTCCATCTATAAAATGTCCCAAAATGAATTGCCACTAATCACTCTCAAAAGGAGAAAAAAAACAAATCTTATCTAAGAAATGTCGAAGATGATAATAGTAGAGAAATCTCATCTCTTGATGATCTCTCTCGCCATTGTTGTTGCTCTTGCCTTAACAACAGGCTCAAATGGTCTCAACGTAAAGCAAAGCCATCCTTCTTCTTTGCATACCACCACAAAAACAAACCAACTCACTTACCATGGAGGACCCCTCCTAACCAATTCCGGTACCATCAATGTGTACCTCATTTGGTACGGACATATTTCCCAAAAGGACAAAACCACCATTACAGATTTCTTTGCTTCCTTCAGCCCTTCAAGTGATCTTTCCATTTCAAGAAAACAACGACCACCAACCGTCTCAAAATGGTGGAAAACAATCCAATCTTACAAGGACAAAGCCGGTAGCTCGGTCCCCGGTACCGTCAGGCTTGTCAAACAAATCGGAGATAAATATTCTTCAGGGAAGAACATCAAGCGTGCCCAGATAGCTGACTTGGTCCAAAACAAGATAGAAACCAATGTGCTGCCATTTGACCCTAATGGCATATACTTGGTTTTGACCTCTAGGGACGTCACCGTGGAGCGTTTTTGCATGAGCTCTTGTGGTTTTCACGACACCAAAACCATACCTACAAAGGGTTATAAAGTGGTTTTTGGACATGTTGGAGACGCTTCGTTGCAGTGCCCCGGTTTTTGTGCTTGGCCTTATGCAGTACCCGCCTATGGCCCGCCGTTCAAGCCCCTCGTAGCTCCTAATAATGTTGGCATTGACGGCGTGGTCATAAACATCGCAACCGTCCTTGCCGGAGCTGCCACAAACCCCTTTAAGAATGGCTACTACCAAGGAGATGTTCAAGCGCCGCTTGAGGCTGTCACGGCTTGTTCAGGGAAATTTGGCGAAGGAGCTTTTCCGGGATTCCCTGGGAAGTTGCTGCTGGATAAGGCGAGCAATGCAAGTTACAATGCTTACGGTGTTAACGGCCGGAAGTTCCTTCTTCCAGCAGTGTGGGACCCTGCCACGTTGAGTTGCAAGGTTGTTGTCTAAAGTTTGTGTTATTCGGGTTCCAAGTGAAGATAAATCATTATGGGTCTGCATAAAATACGCATACAACTATCGCGGAATATTACAATTTCATAGTGAATTTTGAGTCCATATGGTACTTATAGATATTAGAATAAAATATAGCAAAGAAAGTAGTCGTCTTTTCTAGTAGCAAAGTATGAAGTTTAAGCATTTATGCATGTCTTTATGAATGCAAAAAAATAAAAAAAATAAAAAAAAGTAAATGGATACAGTCTGTTTATAGATTGATATTGTATATCTAATAAATTCAAGCTTGCCTCTAAATTTTGCTGCCTGCATAGGACAAAATCATAAATTACAATGTGCGAGAAACAATTCATTCAATACCTGAGCATTTCGCACTCAATTTCCATACATCTTTATTCCAAAATAAGTAAACGAAAATAAGAGAGAAAACAAAAGGGCCATCCACATCTTCTTATTTCTGGCGAGTAAATTCCCGAATACATTGTCCGGCTAAAAATTGGGGAGGCTTTTATTTTATTGACACAATCACTTATCAACCGGACCAAAATCAATCATGGCTAAAACCTCCAAGATAATTGTTCTATCAAACTTATAATAACAGTGCTTTAGAGTCAGAATCTCCTCATCCAACTCGCAGAGAAAAATCCATCCGAAAATGACAATTACAGCGATTGTTGCTGAAATCAGGGAAATTGATAAATAACAGCTTCGGATCTCCATAAGCCGGTCAGTCTGAGGGACCAATCATCTTCTCGGGCACAACAAGAGTATCAAATTCTTCACTGGAAAGCACTCCAAGTTTCAATGCAGCTTCCTGCAGAATTATATTGTAAAAAGATTTGATATTATAGCCCTTCAAAAGCAAGATTTGACATCATAGATATCAAAATGTCCAAAGCAATAACGAAAAGTCTTCATTATTGCCTAAACAAGGGAAGGAATCATCACCTTCAATGTACAACCCTCTTTGTGGGCTGTTTTAGCAACAGCTGCAGCGTTATCGTACCCGATTTTCTGTAGAAAAGGCAGGAAAGTAACTCAGCATTAAACGCATTATAAATAAGAAAATGTAGGAATGATGTCCTTGACAGAGGTTGAAACTTACAGGGTTCAAGGATGTCACGAGCATCAAAGACTGCAAGCAAAATGTCCAAACACCAACAGATAATCCATTAGCTTTGGGATTTAAGATATCACATAGGCATGCAACAGTTGTGTCGTTAACAAGAACAAACTAACCTCATGAAGTAATTTCGCAATTCTCTCCCTATTAGCTTGAATTCCTCGGACACAATTCTTTTCAAATGAAGCAGAGGCATCCCCAAGCAATCTCACTGACTGCCCGTTAAGAGTTCAAAACAAAATTGAAAAAAAAAATGTATTAGCAAAGAAGTGCATTATAGCAGGAAATGATGACAGCATAAAAAAGACAAGACTTACATGCAAGAGACCGTTAGCAATTAATGGCTTGAATACATTAAGCTCAAAGTGACCATTTGATCCACCAACTGTAATGGCCACATGGTTGCCCATAACCTGCAATACATAAGAAAGACCCCCAATGATACTGATACTACTTTACAAAAATATTGCAGGCAGTCGACTCGTCATAGTACTGTGTTTTTCTGACATCGCAACTTTAAAATAACAGAAGGCTGGTGACTTCCTCAATTGTTTGACCAACTAAAATCCATCACAATCTAATTTACCTGAGCACACACCATCGTGAGAGCCTCACACTGAGTAGGGTTGACCTTCCCCTGAAAGAGAATATGCCTTGGTCAAAATGACAGGTTTAATGGGAATAAAATACACAAAAAAAGCTTTTGCAAGGGGACCAAAAGAGGATTTACAGGCATTATACTGCTTCCAGGCTCGTTTTCAGGAAGAATGAGCTCACCTAGGCCACATCTTGGACCACTGTACGAGCACAGAACGTAAAAATCTTAAGACATGTAAAACAGGGAGTAGGAGAGAAGGAAAAAAACATCTATATCCAACAGAAAAAAAACAACCTTCCCAATAAGCGTATGTCATTAGCAATCTTCATTAAGGAAGTAGCAACTGTGTTGAGGGCTCCACTAGCTTCAACAAAAGCATCATGAGCAGCCTGGTAAAAAACAAAATAATTGAGCATAGAAAATATTTTGCTGCATGGGGGAACTGTTCAATCATGTATAATGTCCCTTCCCACCACGAGTAAATAAAAGGAGGAGACTGCATATTTTTACTGGAGACTAACCAATGCTTCAAACTTGTTTTCTGCAGTCACGAAGGGCAAGCCTGTTTCCTCAGCTACTGCATTAGCTATTTTCACATCAAACCTACACGACGATCAAATATGTGGACATCATCATGCTAAGCATAATAAAACAACAGAAACTCATAGAATAACGAAGGTTGAATTTACTACAGTAAACCACCAACGAATCGAGTTCCTACTCTAAAAGAGTATAGCATCAACACACAAGAAAATACAGAGATTTATCAACTATATATACTGAGTCAATTCAACACTTTCTACTTTTATCCCAAGTTTCAGTGACTCCAACTGTGTTTCCAAATCAAAGTTTCACATACCCTTTCTTCGTGTTCAATCCTGTCCCTACAGCAGTACCACCCTGTGCAAGCTGCTCAAATCACAGTGCAATAAGTTACAACCAATTCTAAAAAGGACAAAAAGGGAGGGAAAGGGAGAAGAAATTGGCAATAGAAATAGAATACCTGATACAGGCGAGGGAGAGTGCACACAATTCTGTCAATTCCATACTTCACCTGCAGCCAAAGAACAAACCTATCTGAGTACACCATCTCAAGAAGCAAAACTGTCGGTTCCACAGAAAATACAACTTACTTGTGTAGTATAGCCACTGAACTCTTGCCCGAGAGTTAACGGAGTAGCATCTTGAGTATGAGTACGTCCAATTTTAACGATATCCCCGAACTCAATAGACTGTTTAAACAATAACAGAGAATTAAAACATCATGGTCATTGAAACATGCTTGTAAATTAGCTATCACATCTCATTTTCTTTTAATGAAAACAACAAAAGTAACACCTTCGAATCTAAAGTATTATACAAGGTTTTCAAATTTGGTATTAATCTTGAATTGATCTCCAATGCAGCGGCAATGTGCATGACCTGCACAAAGAATTTGCAGACCTCTTAGAAATGTGTCAAGAAACTGATGAATTAGCTATAAAAAAATAAAAATAAAAAAAGGGCAATATGAACAGCAAATATTGAACATAAAAAATTGTTGCAGTCTTGTCTCAAATATTATGGGCACCATAGAAAAGGCTTACAGTGGGGAATGTATCATTAGAAGACTGAGACCGGTTAACATGGTCATTTGGGTGCACAAACTTGTCCCCACACTTACGGCCGAGAATTTCAGCCGCTCTGTTTGCAATAACCTGGCACCAGACCGCAAAAATCACATTAATGATCATATTCCAGATAAAGTTTCATTTGGATCTTGAGCATAACCTTGTAAAAAAAATTAAGTACAACTACCAAAAGCACCTAAGACATGTTTCTTGTCATGAATGGGATAGGGAAAGATAAAAAAGTATCCATTTCCCACCTTTTCATGTGTTTACTTGCAAAAAGAGAAGAGTAATTTGATAGGACCCATACATGATGTAAGGAATGAAGAAAAGGAAAAGTTATGAATGAGCATTAACCTCATTGGCATTCATGTTACTTTGAGTGCCACTGCCAGTCTGCCATACAACAAGCGGAAAATGATCATTCAGCTTGCCATCGGCTACTTCTTGGGCAGCCTGGATAATTGCTTTCCCTATAGTTGGGTCAAGACCATACTCCAAGTTCACCTGCAATTGAGGAAATAGAACAAACATGTGGTACGCAAAAAAAAAGTAAACTTTATAACATCAACAATAATTCTGTGCAACAAAGGACAATCACAAAGCAAATGACGAATAAAAAGAACCTTGGCAGCACATTTTTTTAGAGTTCCGAAGGCCTGAATGATGGGCTCCGGCATACGCTCACGCTCTCCTCCGATTTCGAAATTCTGCAACGATCTCTGAGTTTGAGCACCCCAATACCTGAAAACCACACACATAAAGATCAATTTGAAGAAAAGCTGAGATCCATTTCGATTGGAATAAGAAACAATTATGAAAAAGGACGGAACTTGTCGGACGGAACAAGGATAGGTCCAAAGGTGTCTCTTTCCTCTCGAAACGAAGTCGCGTATCTCAAATTCAAAGAGGTGGCGAAACGCGAAACGACAACGGTCGACGATCCGTTCTGTATCCGCCGTGAGATGGTGTACATCGCCATTGATGAAGACGAAAAGCTTGAAGTGAGTGAGAACTGAGAACTGAGAACTGGGAAGAAGGAGAAAAGCTTGGAGGCTGAGAAATTCCGAGAAATAATGGAGTGACTCAGCAAACAGTATAATGACTATGATTATTATATAATAGAGGGATGAGTCATGAGACAGTGAACGATGACAATGTTTGGGTCGAATTTTAAGAAGTTTGTAATTTTGGGTGGCTTTTGACGCAGCAAGGGATCCGGATGGGGTATTTTTTGGACTGTCGTTTTCTGAAAAATTCGCAATAGTACTGCTTGACCTAATTAATACCTAAGTTCCTAACATTTAAATTCTCAAAAGTACAAAAGCCAACATTAACTACACTAGGGATATGATAGTGCTACATACAAATGCTCCTTAACCTGGTACCTAATTTAAGGATTACACTAACGATCACGGTGACATAACGGCAAAAGACGATCTATTAAGACTTTCTCACTTATTATTTAGATATCGATCTCACTTATCATCAAGAGATCAATTCTCATTTTTATAGGTCAAGTTTCTTTTTATTCCGTCCGTGATCCTAATAAATTCATTAAATTGGAGTGTAAAGACACTACTACTATCTTTTTTTAACTAACAAAATTATAATAAATAATGGATTGCTATAATCAGTGTCTGAAACCCAATCAAGATAAAAGTATTACTTACATATTTCTTTAAGAAGGTACATTACATTATGTAAAATGAGATGTATTATGCAACTCAATTTTTCTTTTGTCAGAGGACGAAAATAAATATTTTGAGTTGTTGAATTTTTTTGGGGTTATAATTCAACTTTCCTTTTAACTACTGAGATATTTTCTCTTTTTCTTTTCAAAAACAATTTTTGGCATTTTTATACCTACTTTATATCTTATCTTATCTTAAATCTTAAACAAAATATAAAAAATAATGTAAAGCACGTTGTATAATTGACTTGTCTTCTTTATGAATAGTAAAAGAGCAAGTGAAGCACAAATGCCCAATTAGCCGGCTCTACCATGTTGCAACTTGCAAGCAAACGTGGTTTATTGACAAGGGTCGCACTTGTGCTCTTCATACACTTGGTCGATAATATTTACAAACGCTTAAAAACTTGTCTCTTTGTCATGAAGAGTAATGCTTCTATGTCTTGTCCAGCTTTGTTGGAACTAGGGGTGAAAGTAGGGTCAATTTTTGGGCTTGTTTTGGGCCGACCCGCTATAATCGGCTTGAGAAAATGCTAGGCCGCAACATGTTAATTAATCCTAAAACCCGTATACCATTCGGTTACGTCAGGTAACCTCGGGTCAACCGGGTTACTTCGGGTAAACCAACTCTAAATTTGCTTATTTCAACTACTTTTCAACCGGTAAACCAACTCCAAAATGAATGATTCTTTGCTGAATTGTTGCTTTTGCATGAGACCATGGGTAAACTATGGGAAAGAGTCCATAAATTAAAAGATTTCACAGCCATTGTCGATCCAACATCAAAACATTGTCAAATTAAAAATAACATCGAATACAATTGAAAATTGTCATAATAATTGATCCAATATCAAACGAAAACAAATGAATCGACAAACAAATTTATTCAACAAATCCAAGAAGAAGGAGAACAAATGAAACCGAGCTATACCTGAACTTGAAGAGAATGGTATTTTGGGTTAGCGAAGACCAAATGTTCTCGCCTTCTCAGTGGCCAAGTTTTAGAAGTCGCAGTGGAAGCCTAGAAAGGAGTCCCTACGAATCTCACAAATAGAAAAATAAAATCAAACGAAAATCTTCTAATAAAGAAAAAGGTTTTCGGCTTATTACAGAAATGTTACAAAATCCCAACCTCAAAGTAGCTTAATCTTGATTCTTGACTGCCAAAAATCTTGACAAAAAATATTGGAGGCTGACGGCTCGAAACGACGAGTCGTCTGAGGAGAATAAGAGGAAGGGGGAGGAACACCGGAGGAAGTGAGAAGAAGAAGAAATAGAAGCTAAGTGAGACTCAGATTTGAGAGAGGCAAAGAGGCAGGGGGCGCAGAGGAATGAGAAATAAGAAAGGTAGGTGAGGACTGAGGACGTGTAGGGTTTTTTTTAAGTGCAGATGGTTATTTCGACTGGGTAGGGTTAGTCAGGGGTAATGGAGCTTAGGCCCGCGACCCTACCCGCCCATTATGGGTTGGGCTAAAAAAAACTCCTAAATTTTTGGGTTAGGTAGTCGGGTTCGGGGTGATTCCTTACACTCCTAGTTGGAACTGCAAATGCAATCATTTTTTTTAATGACAACCAGAAATGTATTTGTTTTTTAAACGTTCTTATGAGTGCGTTAAAGAGATATTTTTTTTTAAAAAAAAATTAATTTTGTAACGTGCTCTACACGTATTGTCGTGTTAAAGACACTTGAAAAATTTATTGTTTACCGAATAATAAAAAATTCATTTATACAACTATTTAAGTTTGAATTTATAGATAACAATTGACAAATAAAAATTAAGCAAAGATACATTTAAAGATAATTATTTTAACCACCCAAAAATAAAATAAAAACACATGCAAAAAAAAAAAAATTACTCTCGTAAGAGTAAAGTGAGGAACAATATATTTTTAAAGAACATAAAAAATTAATGTAACAAAATTTCACAAAAAATAAGATAAAAAAAGTAAAAAAGATAGATAAGTGAAATGATTGTTACGTGACAACCTCAAAGAACTTTAACTATTTTATGTATTGTTAGATTCAAAAAAAAATTAAGAGATAAAAAAGTAAGTTAAAAAAAATAGAGATAAGTAGAGAAGAACGTTGACTCTTTTTACTTTGCATACTTCACATCTTTTTACTTTGCATCATAAGAAAATAGCAATTCATCAAAATAACAATAATGATAATAATACAATAATAACAAGATGTGTAGCATTTTGTTTACTCCTTGAAAAGGGAAAAAAAAATTACATGATATACTTTTTTGTGGGGAAATTTTGATCAGACCGGTCAATTCAGATTATAAACGTTAAGAATAAAAAGTAAAATAAAAACGGAGGTTTATATACTAACTCATTAACATCATAAAGCTTCAGAAAAATAGTCATCAAACCAAGAAAATGCACGCTTAAATAAGGTTCAAGAAGAAAATAATATTAAACAAAATTTGTGTGTTCTTATAAACGGATAAAGAACACAGTGTTATCCTTGAGTGAATTACATTTGCAAATTACTTAGGAGACGTTTGGTTCATGGATTAAAATCATGTGATTAGAACAATTTTCGATTTACGTGTGTTTTTTGTGAGAGAAAACACTGTAACGAACCATGAACCATGATTCAAATCATGGTTTGAATCCTCCAACCAAACATCCTCTAAGAGAGTTGAACCCAAGCATATTCTTCTTTGTAAGCCACACCAGCCTCACAAGAGGCCTCACACGTATACACCGCAATCGTAGCCCAATCGAGCGAGTCCGCGTCATTCCTCACTCGGAAATAATATAGCAACTGAGGCAAAATCTGTGACCACCCAAAACAACAGGATCATTAGCCAATCTTCCCACGAGATTAAGAATCAAAACAAAAAGGCTGTAATCAATGAATCTAGTTGGGAGAGAAAAATGACAATCTAAAATTAATTTAAAAAATAAATATAGGATCTATCTGACACGGCTTTCAGAAGGACCTAATCAGTTTTTCAAAAGAGATCTTAGTCAAAGGCACAAAATACAGATAACTACTCAATAAACCTCTCCTAAGACAAGCTTAAAACTTCTATGAGAATTCAAATAAGACTTACTTTGTGCTAACTTTTTTTTTTTTTTTTTTTAACCTCTCCTAAGAAGAGCTTAAAACTTCGATGAGAATCCAAATAAGACTTACTTTGTGCTAACTTTTTTTTTTTTTTTTTTTTTTTTTGCTCAACATGAAAGTTAAATACTACTCTTGTCCCATTAAGCTCTTTTGAAAAATATAAGTTCCAAATAATGACTAAAAGGCTATAGGTTTTACTTCTTCTAATGTTGTCCTAGACAGACTCATTACCAGTCTTCAAGCAATATGCCAATGCTCCTAATCAATACCTGGAATTCAAAACGCAAAGGACCATTGCAGTAGCTGCATTTAGGAATATCATCCTTAGATGGCCGGCCACTTGACATGGGCCAGAGTGGTTTGGCACCAGGATCTCTACAATACCTGTTATACATGCAACCAAAGAACGAATATGGAACAGCTGGAGTAGTTTTCATTCATTAACAGCACATAGCAAATAACACTTAACAGCGTATAGAAGGCCAATAACAACAATTTGGAATTATTATTTGATCCATTGTGCAGCGGATTGTTGCAACTCCTATGCAACTTTTAGTAAAGAGTATCAAATACCTTAACACCTGTTCCGGGGCCAAGGAAATACGTTCTTCGAAGGAGGCCCAACTTTTTCTCTCGTCATCGCCCTGCTCATTGACCCAAAAAAGGAGAGGCGCATTAGCATGTTCTATAAGGCAAACTTGTATGCCATCTGGAGAAAATAAAAGCGGTTGTTTCAAAATACAAAAAGGGTATTTTTCACCTCAAATTCCTTCATCAAGGACATTATTGTATCATCCGTCCGGTTCCTGGTGACCAATGAATTAGCACTCCCATTATCCTCGGACATTTGTGTGTCAAATGCACTTTCATCCTCCTGTATGATTTTAAATTCTGGCCATATAGTGGTGCACGCAACTGCTTGCAAAGAAATAGAAAGTTATAGATTGAAATTATAGACAATATATGCTCATTAATAAACCCTCCTAAGCCAGAAAGTAAAGAAGATGTTACATTGAGCACGTTCTCTTTTGTTCATCCATACAAAGCCTTGAAAACATCTATGTACCAAGTACCAACCTTTTTGTAGTTCCACAGTCATGGTTATAGTACCACTGAGGCTGCTGTCACATGAATCAGAAGGAACTCGCACTCGTTGACAATCATAATCATGACCTAATTGAGAATGCTTGACCTACAAATATCCAAAAACATCATATTATATAAGAAAAGGCATTTTTTCATTCTTGCTCTATGAAGGACATGCCAACAAATTAATGAATCCAATTACCTGATGTTTCTCTGAGCAATAATTTGCCTTTTTGCAACTAGGGCACTGTTTAATTCCTTTCCATGTACCACACCAAGTACAAAGTGTGGCTAGAACATGCAATAATCAAGAACATAATTTTAGAAGAAGGGAGAGACAAGTTCCTATACAAACTTTAATCAAAAGAAAAAAAAATAATTAGAAACACAACCTAAAATAATAGATTGCACACAAACAAATTGTAGCCCTTCGTATCAATTCTATGGATCACACCACCTAGTGCCACTAAAATATAAAGCCAAATCCCAAACTGTTATTAAAAACCCGGTGAATCGATCATGTTCTTCACATCATCATAAGTAGAGAAAGAGAAAAATTGGTAATGGAAAGTTGGTGCCATGCATAATTACTTTCTGAAGACTTCTAGTTTAAGATATATGATTCAGTCTATCTAAGACATAATATACTGAAGTGAAATCTAATACAGAAGAATATCCAAGGAAAAAGTCACACGACTATACGCTGCAAAAACTACCTTCTCTTGGTACTTAGCAAACTTACAAATGAGATAAAAATTTAACATCTACCTCCATCTCCAGAAGGCTTGTCATCTTTTTTGGGGGGCTCACTCGAGTAGAAAGGATTTCTGCGCAGTAATTGGCAACGGAAAACCTTCACACTGGAACATCCATAGACAGATAATCAGAAACACCAATAAGTAGGACATGTAAAAATACGTAAACCTATACGCTTTGGAGCAACAAGCAATACCTTCTGGAAGGCTTTTCAGGATGGCGCTTCCACTGCTCGTGTTGATCTCGGCGGAGACAAACGAATGATGTGCAAATAAACACGAATACCGTCCGGTGAAATGCATATTCCATATCCTCCGGTGCATATAACTAAGAATCAAACGAAAATAGACCATTGTTTGCAACATAAGCGAATGTGTAATCTAATCAATGAAATTCCAAACAATGTTTATGGGAGTAATCAACTTGAAGAAACCATTTTTACTATAAAAAAAAAAAATAATATTCGAATAAACAAGTCCACCTGTAATCCGATTATAGAAACTTCAAACAAAGTTACTGGTATGAAACAACTTGAAAATGTATTTTTACTAAAGAAAATAACAAAAAAAAAGATAATCAAAATTCAAATACCTGAAGCAGGAACTGCGAAGGTTCTCCACATATGTCACAAAGAAAAGACCTTCCTGAAGGCAAATTTATAGGATCCAGCCAAGCCTTAAAAAACCCACAAAAAATTAATAAATTTAATAGAAAATTCAAAAAAACAATTTCAAAAAAACAAAAAGCTAGGGACTTTCGATAACATACGGGTAGGCCTCCAGCCTTGGAAGGAAAGAAATGGCGGAGAAGGGAACGAGAGTTCTTGGGCTTTTTGACGAAACCTAAAACGACATAATCATTTGCTTCTTCTTCATCGTCGTCGCCAATAGCGATTTCTTCTTGTTCTTCTTCCTCTTCATCGTCGTCATCCAAGGAGGTGATTCTGAGCCCCCTGAGATTTTCCACTGCATCATTACCCGCCATTTACTCCAATTGGGGACGAATCTCCGAGCAATCAGGGCCTTTTCTCTTTACAAGTTTCAAATTTTTTTTCCGCGTAATTAATTTGTAATCATGAAGCGCAGTGTCAAGAGATGGTGCGATGTAAGAAGTGGCGGGTTCTGTGCGTGGCGCGCAGGCTGGGAGATATTTTGGGTTTAGGGTTTAGTCAGTCTTTTTATTCTTAGGCTTATATTACAACGACACTTTTTTATTTTATTAAAATAACAAAAATACTCTCTTAATTAAAATTAATTACATCAACACTTCTCGTTTTTTAAAAAAAGTTACACAGACACTCTCTCCTTGAGTTGACTATTAATGTTGACAATTAAATTTTAAGAAAATGACAAAAATACCCCTCCAAGTATCATAAAATGTTTCTAAGCTATAATGTTTGAAATGATTTTTACCCTTATTTAGTATTAAAAAATGAGTTTAGTTAATTTTTACACATTTGTAACTATAATTTTCACTCTAATAAAAAGAAATATTTTTGTAATTATTTTTTTAAAAAATCTTTTGTTTTAGTAATGTTGTCCTGAAGTAGCATATTAAATTAAAAAGCCATTAGATATTTAGAGCATTATTAGGACCAATTAAAAAATATTATAATGAAAATTAATTTAATTAAAATAAAAAACTAAATTGCAACATTTTATGCTAATAATAAACGAAAATGCAATTTAAATTAAAATAAAAAAATTTAAGCACATTAACATTTTTAACATATTTTTACATTAATTCTTTAAAAAAAATTACAACACAACATAGCACATTTTTTTATCAAAAAAATCAAATAAAAAAAAAAAGCAATTTTAACACGGATGTAGTTTTGACATTTCTCACTTAAATTTAACCAAGTTTGAGAAGGGGTGTTGATGTTATTAGATAAGAATCACTGTAATTTTGATAAAACACACGGAGTGGAGTGCTGTAATAAGCTCTATTCATTTTTTTAGGGGTCTTTTGCACTATTGGTCCTTAACCTTTATCTTGTGTTGCACATTCGTCCGCAACTTCTTTTATTGGCATTTAGATCCCTCACCTCATGAAAATAGTCGATCGATTAGTCCCTTTGTGGCATTTGCGACTGTTATTAGTTTTTTCATTAAGTCGTCAGTTGCCCCATATTTGATGGAAAAGAGCAGCCTAGACGACCATTTTTCATTCTCTCGTCTTTTTGTAAGTTCTGTCCCTACTACATGAATCCAAACATGCCCTTTTTATCGTGACGTGGTCTTAGCTTTTTTGTTTACTAATTCAGCAATTTCTAATAAAATGAGACATATTTTAACTATTTAATCAGTTGGCAGTAAAATATCAATTTAAAAATCTTAGGCAAATTGTAAAAATTTAAAATAAATCAGGACAAAAATGCTAAAAAGTAAGACAAATGGACACCTTTCTCTTCCCCCACCCAAAAAAAAAAAAGAAAAGAAAAATCCTTCCTTTCCGATTATTGGTCAGGATACATTTGTTATCTCATAAATATTATTAGATCTCCACATGATGAGCATGATAAAATGACAAGAAAAAAAAAACGACTTTAAAATAATAAACGACAATAAGTTGAAAACAACATAAAAACGACAATAAATTTGAAAACGACAGTAAACTTGAAACCGAAATAAATTTTGCAACTTTCGATTTGCAAGATCGTTTATTATGGTCTTCCTTGAAAAAGAAAAAAAAAAAAAAAGAAACAACAAGAAAGTGTAAACGACAGTGACAATCTCAACGACATAAAGGTCAAATACGACAAAGAAGATGTAAACGGCAATAAATCAAAACAAACATTACAATATCATAAATTTATAACACTGTCTTCAATTAATCAGAAACATTGACTCGTCATTTTCCTGATCATAGGCACCAGGATTCTCAAAGAGGTAAGCTTCAACGACTCTATACATGCCAATGGCTCTTTCTTTGCCAATCCTAATCTCTTCCTCGTCGATCTCAAAGTCTTGTGCAATGTGGTACTCACTTCTCATCTTACAAACACACCCTCCTTCTGAAGCCTTCTCAAACTCTACCTCATAAGAAATGTACTCAATCTTTTCTGTCAACACATCTCCTTCAGTCAAAGTGTACTTGCACCTAAAATTCTCCACATCCAGGCTGTCAATCCTGTGCCTCATGTATTTATAACGTGTACCTAAAAGACGCCGACCAAGTTTATCAACAAGGTAGTGGACGTTTGGTTCATAGATTCAGAATCATAATTTAGAATAATTCTCGTTTTACGTGTGTTTTTTGTAAGAGAAAAATACTGTAGAGAACTATGAATTATGATTCAGAATCAGTGATGAATACATGAAACAAACATCTATGAAAATATTTATCGTTAAGTTTTAGATGCAACCACATATGTATGCGTACCTTTAGCGAAATTGATTTGCTTGATGGTTCCGGGGCCACCGTTGCCTTGGACGATGTCGATGCTTTCGATGGCCTGAGGCATGACCTTGTGGACAAGGTTGTGGATGTCTAGGATGACCGCCTTGAACAATATATGTGGTGGTACAGGGCTAGAAAATTCCTGCATAAAACTTGTGACGCCCATATTTTTGTTGAGGGCAAAGGGCTGACTTTATAGGAAGATTTTGTGATATATGTTCTTAGTTGTGGATACTGGATACGGTGATGATATAGCTAGATAGGCAAAAAAGCTGTTTTTATAGATTGAAGATTTTGAGCAAACTGAGAGTTTTCCAAGCACCTTGATAGGAGACTTTGAATTCTAAGAAATATTAATTGACAATTTTCCATTCATTTTTTGTTAAAAAAAAATAAAGCTGCGGAACGCGATATTTGACCCCAAAAGAAATTTCCAAGTGCACCAAACTAAAATTTTGTCTTTCATTAGCTAATGGATTGCTTTGCTTGTCTTTTCTAAAAAAATGTTATATATAATACTCGTTTTCGACAAAGCATATCTTAAAGAACACATCGGGTAGAAAAATAAACTACCAGCTACTACTATTCCAGAGTTCATGTTATTTATTGAATAGAGTTAACATCAACAAATTATTAAATTATTATGCTGTAAAATAATATTAGATCGGTGTATTAGGTAAGCCTTAAATAGAATTCACATTTAAAATGTTGAATAATTCTAACTAGTTAGCCAAATATAAATTATTTTTGGACAAGTACACCACGTAAACACGATGAAGTGGTACACCTGTTTAATTGTGAGGTTGATAAACTGTAATTATATAAGGGTTTCTAGTTTCAAAAGCCGTGTAATAGCGTTTGGTAAATTGTGAAGTTGAATTACTATGGATAGTTAAGATGACTAAAATAAACATAATATGTATAATTTTATTTGTTATTAAGAAATACTTGTCTAACTTTAAAAAAAATAATTGTCTAACTTAAAAAATAATTGTGTTAACTGTGGATAGTTAACTCTTCTATTATCTTCATCACTATTTAGTCTGATTTTGATATCTTGTTCATGAGTTTAGCACTCGCTCAGCATTTTGCAAATGCAGTCCCCATTCCCATCATCCACAAACTCATACATAGTTAATTGGGAGAAACATTTTCGTTATAGATTTAGTCTTCATTATTGAGTGGAGGCACAATTATAAGTTTTTTTGTTTAACGACTAAAACTGTTTCAAAAGAATTGCATACAGAAGCATTGTATAATCACATAGAGAAAGTGTGAGAAAGATTTCTGATTGTAATGTTTCTTGGATTGCTGTTGTCGAGTTCTTGGAGATCAATAAAGAAGTTGTTTTTCTGGATTTCTCTGAGTGTGATTAGATTGCTCATTTGATTGCTTTTGAGGTTCGAATCTTTGATTACGGAAGATTTCTCAACACTATCTCTTGAGCAAAACTTACCGAGCCTATTTTCATGGTTCTCTAGAGGAGCTCAGGAAAAAATCAGGATCAGTTGGGAAAGTGGGTTTAGATAAGGAACATAATAATATAACTTTCTTGAGTTGTTGTATAATTTTATTGCTGTTCTTTGTGGAAATTAGATTAGGATAAAAGGAAATTTCAGTATTTCTGGCGGGCTCAAATAGAAAACACAAACATTTGACTAATACCACCAGACGTACACGTTTTTTTTTTTTTTTTATTGCGTTAAGCCAACTTTTGTTTTGGCACCATTTTATTTTATTTATTTTGAAACGGAATAAATATGCAGGTATATATATCCTTTAACCTCAAGCTACATAAAGTTGTTGTACCAAATATTAAACGGTTCCAAAAAAAAAAAAAAATGTAATATTGATAGTTGTACAAATGGACCACAATTCGTTAGTTCTAGAAACAACCAGTAAGGACCAAAGGCCTTGTTATATATACAAGTTCCTGTGTCCCCTATGATGAGAAAGTGACATATATATGAACTGAATTAGGAAATCAGAAGAATTAATTAGCAGAGAGATCAGAGAAACAACCCAAGTGGGGACCAAAACCAGCTCAATTATTAGTTTGATCAGCAAAAGCTGCTAATTATTTGTGGGTTTGTTCACAAGGAAGAAATTAGTCAAAAAAAAAAAAAAAAAACGCCTTCCCAAAATGCAATAAAGGAGAATGGTCGGAAAATATTAATTGAGACTTTTTCTGTCGCTTTTTATATTTATTATTTGACACTTAAATTTTATAAATATGATACATTATTATTTAAATAAAAAATGAGATAATAAAATTTATGTGTTAAATAATAAATATAAAAAATAATAAAAAAGTGATAGAAATAATAATACTAATATTTCTCAAAGAATCGAGAAGGGTCTTATTCAAATCCCGCTTTTATGTTATAATCTTCCAAGTGGAGAAAAGAAACTTCGAGAAGATTGGCAGATAATACAGGATCAATACCAAAAACATCAGCCACATGCTGTGACGTCCCTTAAGTAGCTTTTCGTATCTGCTAAGGCCTCAAAAACAGGTATGAATAACAGCCACATACAGGTACTTTAAATGTAAAATTAAAAGTCTGTTTGGTTCATGGATTAGAACTATGAGATTAAAATTATTTTTAATTTATATGTATTTTTTATGAGAGAAAATACTATAACGAACCATGAAACATGATTCGAATCAGAGAACGAATCCTCTAATCAAACAGACTCTAACTTTTCAACTTGTCAACCACAAATCAGTTTGTTACAATAAAAAAAAATAACAAAGAAATAATAAAAATAAAAGTGGCTTTTTTTTTAACATATATCATAAATTGTTGTCAAAATTAACAACATGATTCGCATCTGATACAATTAGCAACAACGATTCCAAATGAATCGTTGATACATGAAGATTGCACATTCGTTGCGAGGATAATTACAAGCAACCCCAGCTGAAAATTAATGGGGGAGTTACAGAAGAGGCCATGAACAAGTTAACTCAGATAAAACCATACAAAAGATTAAACATTGTGTACTTTTCAGCTACACGTACGGATTCTTTTCCCAGGACTTGGGGAAGTGTTCCTTTCATGAAATCCGAACATGGATCTTTCATTCTCAGCCATCATGTCCGATAACAGCCTCTTAAGATCCTACAAACTGTTCTTCTTCTATCAATAATTTACACAACCAGAAAACCATTTACAATAAATGTCAGTCTATAACCAATTGAAATGTACTTGAGTACTTAATAATTAGCACAAAGATTATTATTATTATTATTATTATTATTATATATGTACCTCACTCTTTTCGGTTTTCATCAAGACTACCATTTCTTGCATGAAGTCACAAAATCCCTGTGCGTGTTCCAATACTTTTTCAGTATCATCCACCCAAAGACATAAAATTAAGGGGGAAAAAAAATGAAAAACTTTACAAAATTAGGAAAACCATACTCACTTCATCCTCGTCGTCTCCTATGAAGCCAAACAATCCGGCGTCGTATATAGTTCTCTTTCTTTTGTCTGATAAAACTGCACACAGAAAAATATACCATGCAATTTTTTAACCACTGATTTACAAAATCACTCAGAAAGCTCACAAAATGTAGAACAAATTACAAAATCACTCAGAAAGCTCCCAAAACCCAAAATGCCGATTATTTTAAAACAATATATAGCAACTATATATTGACATACCTGAATAAGCCTCGTGGATTTTCTGAAACCTCTTCTTGGCTTCTCCAGCAGCTTTGGGGTCTTTCACCCACCTGTCTGGATGCCATTTCTACCCAAATAATAATAAAAGAGAATAAATAATTGAAAAATACATGGAAAAAAAATGAGAGTAAATTAACCCCAGAAAGTAAAGTAAAAAAAAAAATCAGCATTCGTCAATAATCAGTAAATCAAGTAATTACCAGAGCAAGTCTACGATAAGCCTCACGAATTTCAGAGGCAGTGGCTTGTTTGCCCACTCCAAGAACTGAATAGTAACACCCTCCTCTGGCGTTCGACATTTTAAAGGTAGAAACCTTAAGGTTCACGAAACAGACCAGTTTCAGTAATTTGTAAATTGTAAATTTGTGCCTTTAGGAGGATCCAACAAAACGTTAGAGGAGGAGTGTGTTCTTGCTTTCTTATATATAATGAGATGATATGAGATTCTGTTTGGTCTAAAGGACTAATTTGTAGCCCTGTGGGACCCAAAAAAAGCAGCTGTGAGGTTGTAGCTGAAGCTGAGAAAGAAAGAAAGAAGGTTCCAGAAAGTTCTGTTGTGTGGTCATATGAGATTGTAGTCCACAAAATTGTTATACAGCTTTTGATGAAATTACAGAAACCATGCTTTAAGCCACAAAAATTTGCATCCAAGTACGTGGGGAAAAAAAAAAATCTTATCGAAAAAGTACATGAAAAATTATTCATCATAAATGGAAAGGACGTAAATGTTAAATAATATTAGTTACTATTATTTGTCTTTATCTTTTAGTAAGGGTAGAATAGTCTTTTCATTTATTTTGTAAGTATATAAACATTATTTTTTGATGTAATTAATTAAACAGTTTAATAAGAAACCCTAGCATATTTTCTCCCCAATAGTTTCTAGATTAACAGTAAAAATTGTGGCAGTAAAGGTCATGAGATGTTTATTTTAAGGATTCGTCATTAGTTTTGAATTATTATTCTTAATTTTTTATAGTGTTTTTTTTTTATAAAAAATTTAAATTATAAATTATGGTTCTAAACTATGAATTAAATGTCTCATTAGTTTGTGGCTTACGCTGTTTTTAGCTCTGGCCTATTCCTTTTTCATGAACTGAGCTTGCTCTATTTGCATAATCGCAAAAATTAAACGACAATGCTTAATGGTATTCGGCTAAATATATAATGCTTGCATCATTAATAGTGATAAATGATTTTTTTTAATTGAAATTAGTTATATACCATTAAGCTTTTTGGAGAAATGCAAAGTGTCCCAAGCCTAACGTAGAAATAGAAAGTGATGAATTTGAGTGAATCTTATTGACAAGAATTGCGTTGGTGGTAAACTTCTTGTGCTTGAAGTTAGATTTTTGTTTTCTTTCACTGAATGATTAAGGATAAACAATATTTAATTAAAAAAAAAAAAGCATGTTACTTCCGGATAGAATAAATAACAAATAAAATAATTACGTCTAAGTTCTAACTGAAGAGTCCATTTTCCTTTATATAAAAAAAAGGAGTCCATTTGCCGTCTTTCACAGGCCAAAAATTATTAAAAAGGAAAAAAGTCTTCATTTGCTACTGACCAAAATTTGGAAGCTTCATCTGCCAAGGACCACCTATCCAACCAACCACAAGACTTACAATGAATTAAAAGAGAGAGAAGAAAAAATAACCACATCATGAATTTGCTTCAATTTAATTATTTAGCCGAGATAAATATTTTTATTTGCACCACTACGAGTGCCCTTTTCAAGCATTAAAGAACAGAAATTTGGTCCACAGTTTTTTTTTTCCTGAGTCAAAGCAATATTTTTCAACTATTATCATAGTGTAAAATATAGAATCTATGAACAAAATCATTTGTTTGTTATCCACACCAAGCAGGCAGGGCAGGAGTTTTTTACACGGACTCACTCTTACACATATACAAGCAACTGGACTTATTGCTGCAGTTAATTCTATAGCAAAAAAAATAAAAAATAAGAAACATCTCTCTCTCTCTCTGTGTAACAAATTCAGAGAAAAAAAAAAAAAAAATCACCCATCAGCGTGTCACGCTTCTACTTTCTGTTGCCGGTTTTGCGTTTCATATCAACTGGGGCTGGCTGCCTCCCTATCCGATGTGGGACTCCATTTGATACTTTCCGGGAAGGTGAAGGGCCTAGAGAAGAACCAAAATTTTTGCTGCAAAATTTCAGTAGACAAACTTTGTTAGAAGAAAACCATGTTCTGTTGACTAGGTAGACACTAGACAGAAAATACTGAAATGAAGAAATGACAATGGAGATATCAAGTTCTCTTTTACCTTATTTCTGGGCTCTTTGTGGGTTTTGTGTTGAGTTTCTTGGTCTTTGACGCAATACCATTGGTTAAGCCACTAAGTTTGGTTTGATTGAACTGCCAAAGCAAGTCTGGCTCTGAGGAGTCACTTGTGGCAGCGTCAAGATCATCTGTGTCATCGGTACTAATTACACCGTTGAACCGGTTTCCTCCCATGAACATGTTGTAGGCTTGTTCCGGGTAAACCTTGGTGGAATCTGGGAGATAATTCTGGTAAAACATGTCGGATAAGTTTCCATTTTCTGCTCCCCAACATCCAAGAGGGTTTTCAACCCTGCTTACTTCTTGCTTGTTCACCATGACCTTGTCAACCCACTCGCCCGAGCTCATGTCTTTGTCCTCTTCCCCATAGTTCTGGCCAGGACTACTCACTGGGGGAAAGGGTGGTGAGTTTGCTAGTAGCTCGTCAAGATCAAAGCTTTGCCTCTTTTGCCTCAAACCAGAGATTTTGTGATTCTGCAGAATCAGTACATCAGTTTATGACTTTTAAGTTTCACTATGATTATGAACCAAGGATCGTAAAATTTGATTTAAAAGTACACATTGGGATATAATGAAGAAAGTATTTCTGCTAAAGCTCATTATCAAGCCAAATATTTACCTCCATGTTGACTACACCAGTCAAGATATCTGGACTCTGAAGTTTAGATTGAAAAGGTGACATTTCACTAGCTTTGGACCTGTACTTATCAGAGCTGCCAGATACAGAGAATTGATTGTGCTCTGCTTCCTCTTCTTTCCTTGCCAATGCTGCCTTAAGACTGGCAATCTGGTGCCAATTAAAGTTTCAAAAATCGCGGAGACGTAAGGAAAGTCTATAACCACAACGGGGGGGTCATGATTTGAGAAAAAGAGAAAAATGAAAATGAGAAGCAACCTGTTCTTTAAGTTCTTTGACATCTGTAGTGTCTTTGTTCACCTTGGCAGCCCCAAGTTCAACTGTAGCGACACGCTCAGCAAATTTAAGCGTACTTATTGTTTCACCAGTTGCATCTGGCTCGGGGCTTATGTGAACAAACATTAATGTCTTGGCCTGCCCTCCTATAGATATTTGATAGGATTCCAAAGCAATAATCAGAATATTTTCAACGGAAAAAAACAAAGCAGGAAGAGAAATATAAGAGAGCACACTTTCTTACCAAGTGAATCTTGGAGCAGTTGTGTAAGTTTGCTGTTCCTGTAAGGGACATGTGGATTCTTTTGGGCAAGGGAAGCGATTACATCACCCAAAGCAGAGAGAGATTTGTTGATATGTTGTGCTTCTTTCAATCTGTCTCCAGTCACCTCAGACTTATCTACTCTCTCACTCCCAGCTAAATCAACTAGATGCATGCATCCACGAAGGATAGCCCCAGAAGTCAAATCCCTTCCTTGAACATGAACTGTCAAGCAACTGCATTTTGATAAAAATTAAAGCGATGTAGTTAGTTTTCATCGAGCATCATGCATGGAAATATATGTATCCAAGGATACAAAAAGAAAGGGAAGATGGGATGGAGAGGACTAGATTCTTACCTGTGAGAGCGACTACTGCGGTCATTCAAGGCTGTTGCGCCCACAACACGGTTCCTTTGTCCAAGATTCATGAGATCTATTACGTCAGCTGTTGATGAAACAGGAACAAGATTTGCATCGGGCACGCTAAGTCCTGTTTGAGAACTATTCCGAATTTCTAACGTGTCCATAATTAAGGAAATTCTTGAGTGGGATGCCCCAGAATTGTCTTAAAAGCAAAGCATTTACTGTATTCTTCAAACCAATTTTTCATGGATATTTATAAGTAATTTTTATGTGCAAATCAAAGTTAATACGTATTTTGACAAATAAAACTCGATCTTGAATTTCAATTTGACCTCCTGGGAAAAGAATTAGAAAAAAGGATATCTTTTGTTAGTTCCATCTGTAACAAGAAGATCCCTCACTTGCTCATTATAGATCTCGATCATCTGGACTGAAACATCATAGCACAAAGTATCCTTCCTTTGATCTGCTATTATAAACAAATCGCCCAATGCCCTATAATTTACACCTCGGCTTTTCTCTGTAAGTTCTCTGGGTCCAGTCTAGACAAGTTGAAAAAAATAAAATAAAACAAAACTAAAATTTAACAAATTTGCACAAACATTAAGTTACATATAATAGTTCAAGTCTAGACAATTTGCATTGGCTAAATGTCTTATATCATACCATCGTGTAAGTTTTTCCTGATCCTGTTTGGCCATATGCAAATATGCAGACATTGTAACCGTCAAGAACAGACCGTACAAGTGGCTGCATATCAGAGAATACCTCAGCTGCGAGAGAAAATGACGTTAAGATAATGTTGAGATAGCAAGAATCTGGGAAAAAAATCTAAAAGAAAAAAATTACCAACCTTGAGTTGCAGATGGCCCAAAAACTTTGTTAAAGCAGAATGACTTGCGTCCTTTCCCATGCCTTGAAGGGGTGTTAATAGTAATGTTTCCATCTTCTATATGATCCACAGTGCTTAAGGAGTTTGGTTGTCCAGACAAAAAGGGTCTCACTCGACAATAAACTCTGATACTTCCTAGTTGACATAACAAATAAATAATCAATATTACTTCGAAGAATAGAAATAATATGGAAGAATGATAGTCGGAAATTAGGCATGATATCATAATTTACACCTTTGAGATCTTGTACTTGGTTATATAATTTTCGGTTCTCCTCAAGAACTCTATGATAACCCGATGCCGCATGAGCTAGGCCATGAATATGCAAACCTGGAAAAAGAATATGTGAGATCTTTGGAAATGATATTGATGTGAGAAATTAACACGGGGCATGAATACCAGCTTTGCATGAATTGTGGAACTAGTATGCAAATAAATTTAAACTTTATTCTGACACTTACCAAGATTGTGGAACTCTTCTTGAAACTTCATTTGCATAAATTTCATTCCCGCTTTCGTTGTGTGAATAGTATTCTTTAGATCCTATAAAAAATAAATAAATAAAACTGGTATGAATATCCTTAACAGTAAAATTCGAATAGAATGATGGTATATCTCAATTGTTGCCTACCAGAATATCTCTTTGTTGTTGATCAAATATCATTTTCTGTTTTAACAGCTGCCTTTTCGATTCCTCGTCAGAAATGCAACTCTTTTGGAAGCGCTCTTTCTGTATTGTATTGGCATTTTTGTCCTCCATCTAAATTGACATGATAGAAAGACAGTTTGATAAGAATGAAGCCCTTTACAATTACACACTTGGATAGCATACACGCATACATGCTTAGGTGCAGATTGAAGAGAAACTGAGAAAGAATAAAAGAAAATACCTTTCTATCACCGAAAGTAGATTTAGTTGGAGGCTTGTTTCCATGCGAAATAGTCATTTCTCTTGGAGCTGGTTTTGCCTGTAGATAAAAATGATAAATAAACAAAAAATAAGTTTACTTAATTGTGGAATAAAACAATAAATGTATGAAAAATTCCTAGGATCTATTAGAAACATGATCATCTAAATTATTAACTCTTAGTTTGACAAACTAACATACCGTCTCATATTGGCTTGAGATGCGCTGTTCAAATTCCTCCACTACCTTACTTAACACAGATTCCACCAACTGTTCAAAACAAAGGAACAAAAAGGGAAAATCAACTTGGTAAAAAAGGACAAAACAAATCATTTGAATGCCCTGCTAATATAGCTTACAGCAGTGAGTATATATATAATACTTACCGTGGGAACTTCTTCAGGCTTCTTATCTAACAAAACTGCACGAACAAGCATACTCAAGGAGGGAGAACTAGACTGCAGAAATGATGATTAAAAAAAATGTCATTCTTCTTCGCAAGCTTCAAAAATATAGCACTAGAGACAAAAATAAAAATAAAAAAGCTAAGCTTACCAACCATTTTATTAGAGTCAAGATCAGAGGATAGAGTGTTCAACGATTTTTCGGTCATTGATGAGTTCCTTGACAAGGAATTCGTAAATGGCTCTGAATTTTTTCTAACAAAAGATTTTGTTGAGGAGATAACTTTTACATTTCCACCAAATTTCCACACTCCATTTCCCCCACTCTGTTTCCAGTCACAGTAGGACTTAAGCGCTAGAACACTATTCACAACCCTTGTCGTTTTCCCTCCCTGGACAAAACATGAAACACATTTATTAGTCCCCAAAAAACCCATTTCAGAAACATATGTATTTCAATTATCAGACACAAATTTCTGAAAAGACAGAGAAAAAAGAAACATCCTGTTAAGATTTTTTTATCCCGATTGAGATGCAAGAAACATACTTGTTCCAAATCAGATGCCTCGAGAGTGGGAATTCCCAATTCCTGAATAGCCACAAGAAAGTTTCTCACATTCTCAAAGTACTGAAATGCGGACAATGCAGCTCCATCAGGGATCAAAGCAGCATCACATGGACTTTCCACGACCTGAGAACAACAAATTAAGCAATGTGAATACGTTTAGATACATAATAACAGAGACAAATGAAATTGCAGAGAGAGAGAGAGGAAAAAAAAAAAAGAAACAAAACTGAGATTATATTCACCTTGGGAACAGCTCCGGGTTGAACTTTATTGAGGACATTGCAGAGGATAATTCCACTTCTCAATCCAAGCCTAAATTCTTCTTCAGAAGGCTCTGCGGGCAAATCCTTAGCCGCTACAACTCCGACCATCTTTCTCAGCCACCCAGCAGCTTCATATCTTCTTGATGCTACGGAAATGGTTTAGCCTATTTTAGCATTACTAGCAAATAAAGCTAAGAACTGAAGCTAATTTTCTGAAACTAGACAAGAATCGAAAATTTTGAATATAATTGGAAACATAATCAAGTGGATCAGAGAAAATGAAGGCAGTAGATCCATATAAAACTTGAAAGTTTAAAGATAACTAGGCAAAAATTTAACAGAAACTTGAAATCCTGCTGAGAAGCAAAAATCAGATGGCATACAAGAGAATTCTCTCCACTCAAGAGATAAAAACTCAAAAGGAAGACATAACAATCATTTACCGGCTTCCTCGGCTCTTCTGGACTCCAAATCTAGCTCCCTATGGCGATTCCCGTGCTGCTGGAGAACATCCTCCACCACCGACGCAACCGAGAACGAGAACGCCCCCTCCGCCGCGGCCGCCATTGATGCTGCTCGCTTGCTTCCTCGCCAAACAACGATTTTCCTCCACAATTTGCAGCGAAAAATTCACGAAAATCCACAATCAGATCAACATGACGAAATGCATTGAATCTTCCTCCTCAGAACAGACTCCAAAACGATCTGAAGAGAAGAGAAGAGAGAGCGTCTCTTGGGGGAAAATATCCGTGTGCAGTTAAAGCTAAAGCTAAAGCTGTAGTAGTAAATGTAGCAGTTGTTGATGATGATGAAGATGAAGAAGATGATAATGAGGTTTCTTTGTTTCCAATTCAGATTCTCACATTCTCCATGACGTTTTGCTTTCTGTTTTTGCTTTTTTTTTTTTTGGCTCTTTACAAAAACAAAGCAAAGCTACCTTCCCATTATGTTATCCATCTCTCTCCCATTACTTTATACTCTGTGAAGTGTGACCCTCCCTCTCTCTCTCTCTCTCTCTCTAACTCAGCTTTCTCTCTCCCGAACCAACGACACTCCGAACCTGCTCCCGAACCTCCCGTTCTTAAAAAAAAAAAAAGCACACTTTCTTTTTTCTTCTTTTTTCAATTTCCTGAACTCACAAAATTTTATTAATCAACAAAAAAAAATCAGAATTTTCCAACACCTACAAAATCCGCGACAGTTGCACTACGCGCGTGGTCTGGCAAAATGATGCACGATATTGGGAGGATTGAACTTGACGAGAGGAAATGGAAATATGGAATGAGTGGCGTGTTGTCACGCGCTTTAGAGGAGGTGAGGCTAGGGGTGTAATTCGGCCCGGTAGGGTCCGGTTAAGCTGAAAAATTGAGCCGATCCGCTCAGTGCGAGTTGAGAAAATTTTGAACCGTAACACTCTCTTAAGCTCACAAACCCGCAACTTGTCGGGTGATCTCGGGTAGGCTCGGGTTACTCGGGTTGGTGAAAATCAATTTTAATCTATGACTTCATATCTCTTTTAACAATCTAAAAGCATAAAATACATAAACAGTTCATAAGTATTAACATAACATCAAACATACTTCTTAACAGTCAATAAAGTCTAGAAATAAAATTAACAATACGTCAAATAAACAGTTCATATAGAGATAGTCTAGCAAAATAGATTTATGGATTTAGGGTTACACACTTAAATCGGGTCGAGTCGAGGCAAAGTGGGTTCAAAATGCCCGCCCCGCCCCCAACCCACACAGTGCGGGTTGGGACTATTTGAATATGAATTTTTTATATTAAACCCCCCCCCCACTTTTGGGTCGGGTCGGGCGCGTTATTCGGGTTCAGGCTCATTTCTTACACCCCTAGGTGAGGCCGTATGACTTGATTGTTGTTCAGATTTTTTTTCTTGAACTCCAAGATTTGGTTATTTGGGACTTTGCATTCGGTCAGTTCAGGGTCACCCGGATTAATTTTTTCTTTATTATTGTGAAAAAACTATTAATGAAACAAGATACTATTCAACAGTTCGTTTTCTGCTTGCGGAAAGAGAAATGCCAGAGGATAGAAAGTGACCAAAAGAAAGACATAAAAAATAATGTTAATATTTTTTTAATAAAAATTTTCATATAATAAAAAATATATTTTTATCAAATTAAGAATATGATATTGTTAAGAAATTCATAAAAGTCACAGCACTTATTATAATAATAGGAATTTATAAAAATCACAGCACTTGTTATAATAATTATTATTATAACAAGTGTTATGACTTTTATGAATTACTTAGCAGCATCTTATTCTTAATTTGATGAAAATATAAAACTCATACAATAAAAAATATATTTTCATCAAATTAAGAATATGATATTGCTAAGAAATTCATAAAAGTCACAGCACTTGTTATAATAATAATTATTATAATTACTATCATTATAAAATTCAATATTGCATTCTTTGATTCAACAAGTCTAATTTTAATATCGAGTAATTTTCATTTTTTCTAAAAAAAAAAAGTTCCCTAAGTGCGATATTATGTGTATATGTATTTATTATATATTTGGTAAAATCATTCTATTGATTTTTTTTTTTTGTAAATGGTAATTACTATAGCATCAATTAAGGGTCCGTTTAGTTCACTTATTCGAATTTTTAATTCAAGTTCAGATGTGATTTTATATGAGAGTTTTTTACTGTAATAAAAAATTAAATGTGACTGTTTTTTAAAGTTTTTTATTATAACAAAACTTAAATTCTAAATTCAAATCGGTGAAATGAATGGGCCCTTAGTTTTCTAAATGCTAAAACGTATATCCCAATTTTATATTGTTACACGAGGCTAATTAAAAAAAAAAATCAGGCTCCTTAAAAAAAATTTGAAAAATAAGTGAAACACAAATTTTCCCACTTAAAAAAAAACGTTATATGATGTTTTGTACGTTCGAAATCTTAGAGCAATATATAAATCAAATTGGAGGTTGGTGGTGGATTTGTCCATTATGTTTGTGCGCTTTGTATATAATGAACATCATTATTCATTAGGTCCTTTTTCTCTTCTCTTTGTTTTTTTTTTTTTTTATTCAGAGTAGTACAGTAGGTGATGTTGGATTGCTAGTTAATTACTCTTTGCTTATTCTTTTCCCAAGTTCAAATATTCAAGCACCTTTTCATCAAAAAGGAGGGAAAATAATTTGAAAAGAAAAACATAAAGGTGGGTTTGGATGTGACATTTTCAAACAAAAAAAAAATTAGTAATACTAATCCGGTGAGATTGTGGGGCTTGAATTTGGCAATAATAACAAACTGTCCCTTTGTATTGGCCTTCATATAATCTTTCTGACAATTAAACCGACTCTATAATAAGTACATTGCAAATTTACTCAATCGTTGGGCCAGTAATAACTATCAACATCACCACTATCAAACAAAACCACAAAATTGTAACAAATTTTCTCAACTCAATCTATGGTTGTAGATAAGGACCATCATATAAATTCTACTGAAAATAACTTATAGTATGATAATATGTGTGATTAGTGGTGTATTGATCCAAAATTTACATTTGGTAAGGAAATTCAAACCATGATTTGAATCATGGTTCATAGTTCGCTACATTATTTTTTCTCATAAAAAAATACACGTAAATTAAAAATAATTATAAATCATGATTTTAAATCCATAAACCAAACGTCACTGAAAGATTGACTTCTCCCAACCATCCATGCATACAAAAGTCGGCGGCAACCAAAACCAAACATAAAGATTCAAAAATTTTATTAGTGAGCTAGTCTTGGTTGCCACGAAATATACAGAAAACTTTGACAATTGTCAAGATATTAAAACAAAACAATCTCGGGCAAGCAATTTATTTATTATTTGAAAAAAAAAAAAGCTTTTAAGTAAACATTCCCAAATGGAAAAAAAGATTGTTAGGCAATGTGTCTCTCTCACTAGTGGAATGGTTGTTGAAAACAGTTACCAACCGGGGTTGCCTCAGCTCACAATAATGATAATAACAATGGGAATTTACCATCTAAATTACTGAAGATGAATGGCCTTATCATCTAAGATAATAGACTTGGAAGCCTATCCTAAACTTCCGCCTTTTTTCTAACCAAGCAATATAAATTATATATATATTACTTAAAACTATTACACCAATAGCTATATAAAAAACCCCCCAAAAAAAAAAAAAAAAAAAAAAAAAAAGAGCCATATAATTGTAAATCGCTCGTCATTCTTGTTCCAGATTTTTCTCTTTGTTATTATTTTAATTATCGTAACTAAATAAGTCAATTAGAACAAGAATGCTTTTTTCTTGGCAGCCTTGCATACACAATGTGTAGAAAAAGTCCAATGTTATGTCTTAGATCCATTGTTCTAGCCTTGATACATAGGCATAAGGGGAACAAGCAAATTCATTGAAATAGAACAATTGCCAGAAACCTATTTTAGCCAAAGTGTGGGCAACTTTACTTTTTATGGGGGTGTGGCAATAAAAGCTACCAAGTAGATTGATATCTTTGATTCTAGGACTTTCAAAAGGATTAATTTTATAAATATCCCCTAACATATTTATCTTGTTTTAAAATATTCCCTAATTTTTTAAAATGATTCAAAACATCCTCTGATATATAGAAAATAGTTCAAATAAGTCCCTCCATCCACGGAAGTGCCGTCATGGCAAGTAGGAAAAAGTTTAAAAAATTCATAATATGACTTTTATACTCTTTTAATTTAAAAACATATTAATAAACATAAAATTTGAAAATAAAAAAGTAAAATTAAGTTGTATGACCCTTTTTATTCATCTGTATTAGGAATTGACCAATATTTTTACTTTTTAGTTAAACGTCAGATTTATTTGTCTTATTGTGTTCTACTCACACCTTTGTCTTCTGAGACTAATGAAAATGAATAACCTTCATTACCGGAACCAACAATCTCGAGATGCTTTCAACTATTTTTATGCTGTTTGAGTTTATCAATAATTCAAACTGGCTATTTAAACTAATTTGCAACAATTATTGCCATGTACCTGAGAGAAGACCATTAAATGGGTCATTTTTGCTCAAACATATAAAAAAAAATTTGAAATCTGTTAAACCAACCAAGCAAAGATCTGATTTCTTCCAAATCTGGGTTTTTGTCTACCAAGGCCCCTCGTGGTCTAAGTTAGACTTCTCCGGTGAGCATAGGATATGGGCAAGTTGAAAGTGTTTGCGATCTAGTATCCGTACTACGAGTTGGGTTCATTGACGGTTGTGCGGGGCTGCGCTACGACGGCGAGATGGGAGGCGCCCTCGGCGGTTGACGAAAGTCATAGATTTGATAATAGAGACGCTATTGTCATCAGTAAATATGCGACTGGTTGAGGCTCAGTAATGAGATGGGCAGAGAACTATGAGAGAGAGAGACAGGCGGTGAGAGACGATAGGATCTAATTTCGGCAATGCCGAAGCGGCGGCAACGCGTCTAGCCGTCGACATGGGAGCTGGGCCAATGAATTGAGGGGTGGGTTGAGTCGAGAAGGTGGTTGTGGCGCACGTTGGGTTGCCGGCGGGTGATGATGGTGGTGCCATTAGGGAAGTGGAGGGGTGAGCATGTATAACATAGTTGAGGTTTTTTTAAAAAAGAAATTTTTTATTGTTTTTTTAATTTTTAGTGTTTTATGTAGATTAAATTATTTAATGTTTTTAATTAATCTTTAACAACGGTAGTAAAACCGTTAAGCTAATAGATGGAAAGGGTCTTTTTAACTGTTTTCTATATATTAAGGGGTATTTTGAACAATTTTAAAAAATTAAGAGACACTTTGAAGTAAGTATATACTTCGGGTGACATT